CGAGCACACATGCTCTACTTCTGCTGACACCAATATATGGGAGATTTAATTGCTGTGTTTGCTTCTCAGTCTTTAGGAAGCACTAACCAGAGGTTGACCTATGACTGCAGTGATTCTCAATTACATGGGAACCTATTTATAGTCCATGAACACGACAGATTATCCAACTCGTTCACAGTTTGGATTTTGAATCCTTTTTCTTTAGTTTCAAAGTCATCCATGCATATCGTTATTTCTATGTTCTCAAAGGTTTGAACAGTGTATGTTTAGGGTGAATGACATATCTGATTATCCCTGTCCAAGTTTGAGTGGCAGCAGCAGACATCAAGTTCCTGTAATGGGAATATACTTCCAGTCAATATGAGTTATTCATTATTTTCCCTACTGCCTAGCCCTCCCTGCAATGCTAAGGCCATAAATGAATCTTTGGTCTCCCATGGGGCTCCTTTTAATTTAAATGGGTTTATTTGTTACTATCAAAATTATATATATTCAGGGACTAAGAGTTAGCCTACATTAGTTGGTGTCTGGGATCACCTCCTGTTTCCACTGATTTGACCTATTTGTGTGTCTTGGGTCAGTGGCAGTACAGACTGTGATACATGGTGGTCAGACAGCTCGTCAGTAATCTAATCACATTCATTTAGCTGGTGCTGCAGGGCCACTAGATGTAGAACATCAATCCCATTGCCTTGAAGGTTTTGTAATTTGTTTGGTGTTGTCACATTCACATCATAAATATGTTACCATGACTACACATGACTGGGGGGACCTGTGAAGATTAGAATTGGTCTTCAGCAACCCATGCGACTAACAGGATTGAGTGGTCAGGCTCGCTGACTTAGTATGCCGATGCTCATGCTGCCGATCACTGGATTGTCTGGTCCAGATTTTATTATTTACAGACCACCGCCATATAGCTGGATTATTGGTGGATGCGGTGTTAAACAGCATTCACTCATTCAATCCATAATGTAAGTGTGGGAAGGTGCCACTTTACTTCTGCCTTTGAGAGATTTGTTTTAAACTAAGTTGTTGAGTCCGCCATATCAAGGGGAGGGGGTAGGAACATAATTCAACTTGGGAATGGTTGCAGCTTGTAAGTTGTATTCAGCTAATGTGTTGACAAGTTGTACACTACGTGCTCTGATTCATTGGTGAACAGGACACGGTGGGAGATGGTTGACCCTAATTGTGTTCCCTGGTGCCGTACCTTACATTATGTTACTTGTACCCAGTGTTGTGATCAAAGTGTCAGGAAGTTTGTGAAGGAAACAGGAAAGCTGATGGTAATACACACTGTAGAACCTCTAATAAATAGCCAGACATACCATAAGCCACCAGTAGAGCACATGGTACCAGCAGAAACCAATAGAGTAGGCTGTTGAGTTGAGTTGAAAGCCAGCTTATTATGGGAGGAACTTGGATGTTTTCAACTTTGGTGAAGTATGATTCTGGCAAACCTAGGAACATTACTGTGTGGTCTGTTGAATTATGATAATAGCAGGGGCGGTGGGGTAGCCTTGTGGTTAAAAGGTTCACTTGTCACGCCGAAGGTTCGATTCCCCACATCATTGGGCACAATGTGTGAAGCCCATTTCTGGTGTCCCTCACCGCGATATTGCTGGAATGTGGCTAAAAGGGGCATAGAACCCAACTCACTTACTCACAATGATAATAGAATGATCATGGCTTGTATACTTTAGTAGGCATGTCATGACATACTCATTATCATGTGCTCAGATAAAAGATTAGTTTTCACACACTCTCTACCTGAAAAACTCACACAAGGCTGACATGAGGTCTCTCTGACATGCTATGAGGATAAATTCATAGGCTCAACTGAAAACTTAATTTAATATATGAAGAATGGGTTTCCTTTTTATGAGCCTATATGATATCGTTGTTTGAGATATGAAATGAAAAGAGTAAGTGAGTGTGGTTTTACCCTGCATCATGGCGGGGGGACACCAGAAATGGGTTTCACACATTGTACCCATGTGGGAAATCGAATCCGGGTCTTCAGTGTGACGAGTCTTCATAAAGCACTGTATTGTTAGGACAGTTTTGTAAAGTTACTGGAATATGGTTTTAAGGGATCAAAACCTGATCAGAATTTACTAATTTTGTTCTGTGTAAACTGTGTCCTTTAGGGTATTTATGGTACGGCGTGGGTTGTATCTCTATTGACCATATATTTGTTGAAACATAGATGCTTTAAATAGTTTGAAAATTTGGCTGGAGTGACTCACAGAAAACAGATGATTGGGATGATTCATGCAGTGCTCTGTGCCCTCAAGTATGACATTGTACCCTTTAAGAATTTGCATAATTGCACTTTTTGCTGAAATACAATCAAATTGTCTCTTGTGTTACTGATTGTCTCCCCTGGTATTGTTCGGGTGAAGGTAGCGAGACAGTGTTAGAGAACATAAAACTGAGAAAATCAATTCTGGCTCCTTTTTCTCAACAGATGTTGAACTGAGGCATTCTACCAGTGGAAGATCCCTGTATTGAAATCAAACATTGCCAGTATTCCTGTTGTGTTTGGGAGTCAGATGGGGTACAGCTGTTTGGCTGCTTTGGGTAACAGCTCACTTTGGAATGGATGAGGAATATTCAGCAAGTCGTAACAGATTTAATTAAATTTTATATATGCAATGGACCTCTTGCTTAGGTGTTATAAAATGGTTGTTCTGGATGCATATTGTCTGGCATTTCCACTGAAATATTGTTCAGCAGTCGTCATTCTCGTATTCATGCAGGGTTTTATCGAGGATTCTACACCAAGTGACCTCAAATTGAAAAAAATATTATTATTATTTTGTTTAAACTTGGGGTATCTCAAAGTTGTTATTTCCTCAATCTGAGTTATTTTAACATTGAATAATTAATTTATTTATGCGAGTGGCCCTAAGTGATGAGGCTGTAGACATGGCCGTATCTGCAACACAGTAGGGGTAAGGTGGTCTAGGACAATATACTCAAGAGGGCGGTGGGGTAGCCTAGTGGTTAAAGCGTTGGCTCGTCACGGCGAAGACCCGGGTTCGAATCCCCACATGGGTACAAAGTGTGAAGCCCGTTTCTGGTGTCCCCTGCCATGATGTTGCTGGAATATTGCTAAAAGCGGCGTAAAACGAAACTCAGTCAGTCAGTCAATATACTCAACTTATGAGTTACCCGTTGTTCTATTTGCAATGTACCTACTTAAACCGTCACAGTAGAGGTAAATGGTAAGGTGGTCTACGACACACAAAATATTGAACTTATTAATTCCCCTTTGATCTATTTGCAATGTACCTATTTAGAAAGTCATTTGAAAACAAGTGTCAAGCACTTGGATCAGTGATATTGAAAATGCATACATGCTCGATTAAAGAGATTACTAGGTGTAAACATCTCTTTTCAAAAGGGCAACCCTCCATTTTCCAACCTGAGCCTATCTAGACCAGGTGGAGCAAAGTGAGAGGTTGACATTAAACAATAATAAAGTCCACATTAGCAGGATATTAAGAGTTGAAACTCCATATGGTCCGTATTATTTCTCTATTACTGTCGCCTGGCAGTGAACAAGATGAACTTCCGACATCGAAGCTATTACACAGGCTTTGCTCTGAAGTAATGCAGAACATTACATAACACCCATGTGTCACTGTTTTATATTTCCTAAAGTAATTTCAAGGTATTTTGTATGTGTTGTTTTGGCCAGGGAAAATAGTTCTAAATTCTTGTATTGGTGAGGTCAGAAATTATCATGAATTACCGTAGTCCATACAATAAGCTCACTTACGTGACAACAGTGTGTGCTTGATGTAAAACATTTCATATTGGGCTGGCATAAAGAGTGTTTGTTTGGAGACATGCACTTGTGCCTTCATTTGTATATGTTGCAGAGAAAGCACCTGTCATGAATTCATGAATTGTGTTCAGTGATAAGGTGAAATAGTTGTAGATAATTAATACATTTAATAGAAATAATGACGTCAACAATAATACACTGGTGCCTGTGTGGTGATGTTTGCACTCGTGCTCAAATTTTTGTTAACTTGATTATTTCCAACCTTATGGGTAATAAATAACAGTATAACACTTTCCCCACCCTAGAGTGTTGAGATGGGCTATCCCCCTATCAGTCATAACTACCACCTATATCAGTGTTTATTGCAGTTTAATAAGACCCCTGCTTATTTCAGACGTCAATCATGTCCAATAGCTGTCAATCATCAATTTCTTATATCTGACGGTGAATACCATCTTGTATCCAACGCCCATTGGGAGTTGATATGGCCTAGTGGTTCAAAACTGATAGCCCCTCATTAGGTAATGGCAACGGCAAGATAAATAACCTTGCTTGGAGTCTGTCTTCATGTGGGCCCAAGTGGTCAATCATGTTTCAAGATAGCACAACTGTAGACTTGTAGATAATAAATCCAGGTGGCTGTTGCTGCCTGCTCGATCAGCCTTACTGGTGGTTGGTCCTTCAACCTGTCAGGAACCATGGGCCTGGTGTTGCCTGATACTTAACAAACAGTACTTGAGGCATCCATTAAAGTGTGTTGTGACTGGCGTGGAATTTATGTTAACCTTTCAATACATATACAAACAATACTTATGTACATTTAAAGAAACTCACAAGTTAAGTAATGGTAAAATATGGTTGTCAGGCAAATCATCTGCAGCCATGCCCAGATTAGATTTGCCATATGTTGAGTTCTGATATTGAGGACTGGTTGTCAAAAAAGGTGTTGAACATTCTTACACGTCTGAAAATGTGGCTTTGAAAATACACTTTGTATTGCATATACAAAACTTGTATAAAACAAATATTATTTATCTTGCTATGAGATGCTAAACTGATTCTCATAACATATCGAATGTATATTTGAATATGTCTGACATCATATTGTCCCTATCGAAAGTTGTGTGTGAAACTGGGAATTTTTAGATTGCATTTCTGGCAGGAATGATGCTCTTGACTAATATCTCTCCTCTCATTTCAGATTTGTCCAAGAATCGTCTAGGAGATGTGCCTCAAGAAGTGTGTGAATATCATTCTATGGAGAGACTGAACTGCTACCACAATGTGATCAAAGTCATACCGGAAGCTATAGTGCAGCTTCAGGCACTAACTCATTTAAACCTCAGGTGAGCTTGTTAACCCCTTTGCTGATAACCAGTGACAGTGTTTATGTTGGGCACTTTTAGTTCTTCAGGGATCTGGAAATGTGATATGTCATATGTAGAGGTTAACCCACGGACAGGAGTGTCCCAGTTACTGACTCTGTCCTCTTCTTTTCATAACCAATTTCCTTAAAATCATTTCAGATCTTTTAGAAAACAATGCTTGAGTATGGCCCAATCTGAAAACCTGCATATATGCTGAACCAAAAAAATGTTATGCGTCATGAATGTTTTGGGGGCCTATCTTTTTTAAATTATCCTCTACTTGAAAAATATCAACCAAAATATTCCTGATCCTGGACTTATTTTGCTCAGTATATGTATAGTATCCTATTATGGGAAAGGTGGAGCTATATGTTATCAGCAAAGGAATTAACATAGCTTTGTGAATCCAATTGTAAGGAATGGCACAGGTAAGTTGTTTTGTGCAACTGTGACTGATTCATGAGGAGGTATGATGATTTTTGAAGAAAATCACTCGATGATCAAGAACAGGAAATCCAATACAAGGACACTGAGCTTCAATATGTAATAGTTTTCATTGAATACAAGGTTCTGTGGACAAACACCTGCAAGAGTGGTTGTTAGGAATACAGCACCTACAGGAGTGGTTGTTAGGAATACAGCACCTACAGGAGCGGTTGTTAGGAATACAGCACCCTAGTGTGTTGTTGATTCATGGAAGACTGTTCTAGATCAAATGTTAGCATGTCGTGCAGAGGATACACTACTGACAGCCTACAGAAGGAAAAAAACCCGAAGTGAACCTTCTTCCCACCTGTTGCCTAAACTGGAATGTGGAGTCAGCTGAGCGATAATGCAGTTGTTGGAAAATATCAGTTTGTGAATGTAAACCTTTGAGAAAGGTTCAGTGCAGTCTGATGCTATCAGATATATTATCTTTAAGTGTGTATAATATTTCAGCCATTACATAATGTTGGTAATGCAGAAATAGATTCAACAGCATTCATGATGCTTCTGCACAACTGCCACTAGTAATGATCCTCTTGGGGCTGGTTTTCAACCAAATGTGTAGTAGTTCAGCTGAATGCTGTTGGTATTAGTATTGACTGTGATATGTGGAAAGGAAAGTAGTATCAATGGGCAGTTAGATCCAAGGGAGGCAACTCTCACTTCACAACATGAAGATAACAAATTCTCACATAATGGCATCAGATATTTTGATTAACATACATTTTGTATAAATTTAGCAGATGATAATCTTGTTGAATATGATGATGAATCTTGTTAGGACATAGAGCAATAGTAAAGTGAAACTTGTTATCTATTTATACTACAGATATGTTTTTCCTGTAATATAGTAACAAGTATGATATTCTGAGGTGGAATGGGTTTCTTTTGATATTTCCATGCATAGGCTTTTTATAAATTTTCTATTTTAGTCGGAACCAATTGTGTGTCTTGCCACCGACATTATGTCAACTACAAGCCCTGGAGGTTTTACTGGCCAGTAACAACAAACTTGTCTCATTGCCAGAGGAAATAGGAAAATTAGAAAAGCTCATGGACTTGGTAAGTAAAGAAATGGCATATGTTCGGAAATATGACAACCTACATGCTTTGAATTGGACAGATGTAGCATTAGAAAATTATCCCCCAAACCCTACATATTTAGTAGGGAATAACTTTGTGGAAAATAAACTTGAAAATAAAATCTACAGCTCATTACCTTCTAACAGCTTTTACATATTTTATAGCCATGGCCAAAGGACTCGTGCTTATTTAGGTCAATGAGTGTGATGTTTTTATTTGTTGCAGGATGTTAGTTGCAATGAGATCTCACATCTCCCGGGCCAGATCGGTGACCTTGGTTCTCTCAGGTGTCTCAATGTTCGCAGAAACTTACTCGTGGAGCTGCCTGCAGGTGAGCTGCAGTACATTCTGACATGACCTCCTTTACTGTGACCTGTGGTAGAATGGTTTCTTCATATATCTTTGGTTATCTTTTCAACTGATCATTCATCAGCAACAACCAGTTGCTAATATTTTGTGTATTTTGTCCAAATTACTTCTTAAAGTGTTGGAATTCTTTGTAAATGAAAATGTCACGTTAGTTTCATACAACTGATCTGTGTTGTTGTCCAAAATATGTTCAAATATTTAAATGTAAAAAGAATTGTTTCATATATATGATATTAAATACACATTTTTCTCCTATGCACTGTCTCATTCTAAGAAAACAGAAGTAGTAATTATTAAGAATATGAATGGCTTCTAAAATAATTGTATATGTCTGTTCTTTACTTTTCAGAAATTTGTAAATTAAACCTCAGGAAGTTAGACTTTTCGAGTAACAGAATAGATAAGATTCCCACAGTCTTTCGGAAAATAGAATCCTTAGAAGAAATGGTCCTGGACCACAATCCCTTGTCGCTACCTCCCGCACATGTAAGTATTGGCACCTTGTGTACTTAGTAGTTGTAGGATGTACAATACACATAGTCATTGTGGGACAGTGGTGTAAGGTGCTGGCACCACCCAACCAGTTTGTGTTTGAGATCTGGCATCTGCAGTTCATTGCAACCTTGTAGACTTTGTAAAGTTGTAGGATGTACAATACATATAGTCATTGTGGGACAGTGGTGTAAGGTGCTGGCACCACCCAACCAGTTTGTGTTTGAGATCTGGCATCTGCAGTTTATTGCAACCTTGTAGACTTTGTAAAGTTGTAGGATGTACAATACACATAGTCATTGTGGGACAGTGGTGCAAGGTGCTGGCACCACCCAACCAGTTTGTGTTTGAGATCTGGCATCTGCAGTTTATTGCAACCTTGTAGACTTTGTAAAGTTGTAGGATGTACAATACACATAGTCATTGTGGGACAGTGGTGCAAGGTGCTGGCACCGCCCAGCCAGTTTGTGTTTGAGATCTGGCATTTGCAGTTCATTGCAACCTTGTAGACTTTGTAAAGTTGTAGGATGTACAATACATATAGTCATTGTGGGGCAGTGGTGCAAGGTGCTGGCACAACCCAGCCAGTTTGTGTTTGAGATCTGGCATCTGCAGTTCACTGCAACCTTGTAGACTTTGTAAAGTTGTAGGATGTACAATACATATAGTCATTGTGGGGCAGTGGTGTAAGGTGCTGGCACAACCCAGCCAGTTTGTGTTTGAGATCTGGCATCTGCAGTTCACTGCAACCTTGTAGACTTTGTAAAGTTGTAGGATGTACAATACATATAGTCATTGTGGGACAGTGGTGCAAGGTGCTGGCACAACCCAGCCAGTTTGTGTTTGAGATCTGGCATCTGCAGTTCATTGCAACCTTGTAGACTTTGTAAAGTTGTAGGATGTACAATACATATAGTCATTGTGGGACAGTGGTGCAAGGTGCTGGCACAACCCAGCCAGTTTGTGTTTGAGATCTGGCATTTGCAGTTCATTGCAACCTTGTAGACTTTGTAAAGTTGTAGGATGTACAATACATATAGTCATTGTGGGACAGTGGTGCAAGGTGCTGGCACAACCCAGCCAGTTTGTGTTTGAGATCTGGCATCTGCAGTTCACTGCAACCTTGTAGACTTTGTAAAGTTGTAGGATGTACAATACACATAGTCATTGTGGGACAGTGGTGCAAGGTGCTGGCACCACCCAGCCAGTTTGTGTTTGAGATCTGGCATCTGCAGTTTATTGCAACCTTGTAGACTTTGTAAAGTTGTAGGATGTACAATACACATAGTCATTGTGGGACAGTGGTGCAAGGTGCTGGCACCGCCCAGCCAGTTTGTGTTTGAGATCTGGCATTTGCAGTTCATTGCAACCTTGTAGACTTTGTAAAGTTGTAGGATGTACAATACACATAGTCATTGTGGGACAGTGGTGCAAGGTGCTGGCACCACCCAGCCAGTTTGTGTTTGAGATCTGGCATCTGCAGTTTATTGCAACCTTGTAGACTTTGTAAAGTTGTAGGATGTACAATACATATAGTCATTGTGGGGCAGTGGTGCAAGGTGCTGGCACAACCCAGCCAGTTTGTGTTTGAGATCTGGCATCTGCAGTTCACTGCAACCTTGTAGACTTTGTAAAGTTGTAGGATGTACAATACACATAGTCATTGTGGGACAGTGGTGCAAGGTGCTGGCACAACCCAGCCAGTTTGTGTTTGAGATCTGGCATCTGCAGTTCACTGCAACCTTGTAGACTTTGTAAAGTTGTAGGATGTACAATACATATAGTCATTGTGGGGCAGTGGTGCAAGGTGCTGGCACAACCCAGCCAGTTTGTGTTTGAGATCTGGCATCTGCAGTTCACTGCAACCTTGTAGACTTTGTAAAGTTGTAGGATGTACAATACATATAGTCATTGTGGGACAGTGGTGCAAGGTGCTGGCACAACCCAGCCAGTTTGTGTTTGAGATCTGGCATCTGCAGTTCACTGCAACCTTGTAGACTTTGTAAAGTTGTAGGATGTACAATACACATAGTCATTGTGGGGCAGTGGTGCAAGGTGCTGGCACCACCCAACCAGTTTGTGTTTGAGATCTGGCATCTGCAGTTCACTGCAACCTTGTAGACTTTGTAAAGTTGTAGGATGTACAATACATATAGTCATTGTGGGACAGTGGTGTAAGGTGCTGGCACCACCCAACCAGTTTGTGTTTGAGATCTGGCATCTGCAGTTCACTGCAACCTTGTAGACTTTGTAAAGTTGTAGGATGTACAATACACATAGTCATTGTGGGGCAGTGGTGCAAGGTGCTGGCACCACCCAACCAGTTTGTGTTTGAGATCTGGCATCTGCAGTTCACTGCAACCTTGTAGACTTTGTAAAGTTGTAGGATGTACAATACACATAGTCATTGTGGGACAGTGGTGTAAGGTGCTGGCACCACCCAACCAGTTTGTGTTTGAGATCTGGCATCTGCAGTTCACTGCAACCTTGTAGACTTTGTAAAGTTGTAGGATGTACAATACATATAGTCATTGTGGGACAGTGGTGCAAGGTGCTGGCACAACCCAGCCAGTTTGTGTTTGAGATCTGGCATCTGCAGTTTATTGCAACCTTGTAGACTTTGTAAAGTTGTAGGATGTACAATACACATAGTCATTGTGGGACAGTGGTGCAAGGTGCTGGCACCACCCAGCCAGTTTGTGTTTGAGATCTGGCATCTGCAGTTCACTGCAACCTTGTAGACTTTGTAAAGTTGTAGGATGTACAATACACATAGTCATTGTGGGACAGTGGTGCAAGGTGCTGGCACCACCCAGCCAGTTTGTGTTTGAGATCTGGCATCTGCAGTTTATTGCAACCTTGTAGACTTTGTAAAGTTGTAGGATGTACAATACACATAGTCATTGTGGGACAGTGGTGCAAGGTGCTGGCACCCCCAGCCAGTTTGTGTTTGAGATCTGGCATTTGCAGTTCATTGCAACCTTGTAGACTTTGTAAAGTTGTAGGATGTACAGGAACTTCAGTTGTGTGTTACACTGTGTGCTATCACCACCCGCTCACTGTAAATAGAACATTGTTTAGTTTTATTGGTGATACGACTCTTATCTGATGTTTATATATGACTGTATCTTCCAGATCTGTACGAGAGGACGACAGCACATAATGAAGTTTTTACAAATTGAAGCAATTAAGGAGGACCGGAAACGAGGAATCCTTAATGACATGGACATGAAGAAACTTGCCAGGAAGTCATTGCCACCACAACAGTAAGTGTTGCTTGCTTACATGACAATGTGTTGGGATCTATCCCGATTTGATACATTTTATAGTGGCCATCATAGAGTGGAATACTGCCACATTATACAACACAGAAGTATTTAAATGGTTCCACCTTGTTTGGAAAGGAGGTCAAGGGTTAAAGGGCTAGTGTATCATTTATTTGAGAGGCATTTAGAAGTTGGAGCACTAAGTAATGATAACATATTATGAATGTTGAGTGGTATTTCATTGTCCGTTACCCACTGCTTTTAAATATGTGCGTATTTCAGTCATTTTACTCACCTAAGTATTATGTCATTGAGTAAGTTTACTAAGCAGGTATGTCCTGCCTTATATCATACCTAATCAAAACCAACTTAAATATTATGAAAATGATTTCATAAAAAAAAATCACTTATCCAATACTGACAGTACAACACTAGTCCTATACTAACAGTGCAACTTGATACCAATCAATGTCTTTTTTCATTACGCAAGCGATTTTTATAAATATATTCCGTACACATTTGTTTTAAACTTTTTGTGTATCTAACATTTTAAATGCGTATTTGGTACGCAACAATTATTTTTCAATTCGTAATTGGAAATTTTCTATGCGTATTTAACCCGGATACGCATCTTATCTGGGCCTCTGATAATATATACTATATATTGAATGCATGTAATGGATCTTTGGGGTTTGGTTCATGTTAGTAATTGCTGTTACTGTGTAACTTACAAGTGACTTGATCAACTCCAGAACATCAGATGAACTCCGCAATATGTTGTTGGAAAGTCCAGAGTCTCGGTGGAAACGGCACACAGTCCTCAGCGCCGACTCTGGTTACAGCACCACTGATAGTCTGGAAAAGTGTGGGTGGTCACCCTCGGAGGTAGGTCATGTGATTGCCCCATATGGCATCATGGTCAGCTGATTGGCTCACATTGTTGCCCAGTGGAGTCGTGAGAAAGAATGGTTTCTTTTCTCATTTCTGCACTGTTTGAATATTTACGTTTGCATGTGTTTTAAGAACTGCTTTTAGATATTTTTGTTGTTAACAAAGATTCAAGAAAGTCAGGAAATTTCCAAATTTGTTGAAACATGCCCATTATTTAGGACAAGGTTTGTTCAATGTTAGCTATGGACTAAGTAATGTATCGTAAACATTTATTTGACGAATAAGACCGGTAAATATTTTCCCAATCATTCAGCGATTTGTGAATTTTCTACTTCCCCATGATCCTTGCTAGACCTGCTGGAAATAGCCAAATATTCTTCAAATCTCTTCTTTCACTGTGGCCTATGACTATTTTAGAGGCATGAAGATAAGATGGGCGCTTCGCCAACCAACTCTCTCCATGGCTGTATAATCATCTGTATGTCATGTAGATAACTGTCCCTACTTCAACATGTACGATGCTGGCATGATACTCTGTTCCTCTATCTTTGGGAAATATGAGTTTGATAATGTTTATATACACATAGACGTGATATAAATCCTGTAGGATTTTGTGAATAAGGAAATTTGAGTTGCCTCCCTTACATTATGTTTACATTACATTCAGTTCTTGTTTCCAATATTTATGGGTGTGATATTTAAATTTCTTATCTAATTTCACCGCTTCACCCCAATTCGAGTCTTGTGTGAGATATTACAGTCTGAATTACATTTTGATATTTGTTGAATTATTAAATCTTGACAAAAGTTATAGTGTTGTATATTTATTTGATTTGAATTTGTTTGCTGTAACCAAATGCATCTTCCATTGTCTTTGTGTTATTAATAGCACTAACCCTTGAATGTTCCTAACAATTCATGTTCATACTTGCACACATGATTTCGCTGAATTCCTCAACTTAGTCTGTGCCAAACTCTTACAATTTAATCACATTCTTGTGTTTTGAAAACTGTGTAAAGTTTACGAGGGCAGTTAGCCTTCCAACTAAAAATGTTAATTTGCCCAGCAGAAAATATTGCTTGACTTCATTTAAGGCTAGACTCTAGGCACAGACTGTTAACTTTTAAATTTGTCTAACTAACTTTTTGAAATTGTTTCTATTTTCATTTTCCCCAAATGCTGAAATTAATGGAATGGAAATTGAATTTCATTTTCATTTGCTTTGATTACTAAAGATGCTCCAAGTATTGTTTTCAAGTAATTTTAAGGAATTTCTCCTGTGCAATTCCAATTGTATTTAATTTCAATATGTCAAGAAAATTTACATTTATGTTTGTGTGGAAGATGCCTTTGGTAAATCTTAAGCCTCTCATTGTAAATATTCTACTTTAGTAAGTAGGTGACTTTGTATAGATGCATGATATATTATTGTAGTATGCTCCTAAGCACTGTTCTTTGTTAATGTTCCCTGAGAAATTACCAGCATTTGTATCTTTCTAGGATGGCAAGGAAAGTTAAAAGTGAAGAGTTACTATAAGCTGTTGGCTTCTGACACTCACTGTTTGTCATCTCTGTCATGGCTGTTTTGGTCGAAATTTATATTTCTGCTAATCATTTCAAATGTTTGATGGAGATTGACAAAAATAGTATACATCAGCAGGGTGAGATGTTCATGTAGAATAACAGCTCTCTGGAAACTTTTACAAGATGAAGACAGAATTTTGGAATTCAATGTTTCACAAAGCTTATCCTGAATGTAGGGTTGTTTTGGAAGGGATACAAAACCGGTACTTTCGACGGTCTTTTTGCTGTAGTTGCTTCCGTTTGTCTTTGACCATTTTGTTTAATGTGAGCATGTTGGTTTCTCCCTGCGCCTCTGTACAGGTTCCAATAGACATCGATGATGCCAATTCTCTTGCCCTTAAGGCCGGGGAGGCGGTCAAGGAACAGAGGCATGGAAGAGAAATGGACCTCCAGAGAAGATTCACCCAAGAAGCTTATCGTAAACCGACCGTAGAACACATGGAGGCCCACGACCTCCCCCCACCCCCACCCCACCTCTCGCCAGGCTCCGACTCTGACAGTCAGAGCATGACCCTTCCGGTTCCCCTGCCCCTTTCGTCGACGGCCCTGGAAGATGAGTTCACCAGGGTTAGTTCCCTTAGTTATGAATCTAGTTGGAAAGATAGATGTGTCAAGATGGATTGGACTGATTGGCTTACCTCCTAACTCGGCTCCTTTACTCTCTCCCCTGACTGTCTCTCAGCCTCCTGGCTAATTGCACCACGCTTAACATAATGACTTAAAGATCATTACATCTACCGTATCTACAGATCGGTTTATATATAGCAGTATACTCCAGCTTGTTCTCATTCACCTAATATCACGATCACAGCACTGCATATAGGCTTAGTGTCATGGGCCCTGATCTACAGTGATCTTATGGTGATCGTAACTCCCGTTCTTTAGCATTGGCTTACGATCTGTGCACCATTAACTTCATTCTGTGGAACGGGGCCCTGGTATACTTAGTGCGATGTCGGACAATGTATTCTCAATCATGTAGGTTGTCATCCATAAATTTACTTGCAACAATTAGTTTCAAATTTTCGAAAGGAGCTTATAATTTTTTTGTTGAAGTAAAAATATCTGAAAATAAGTTTTTAAGTTATTAATATTATTATCATGTATGCTGTCTGAGCTCTTTTGTACCTCCCACAGCCTGATTACTTTTCACAAGAGCAAGGATATTTTTTCACTTCAATATGAAGCAGTCTGAATTAAAGTTGTTAAATGATTTCTTTTTTAAGTCTATGTAGGTTTTAGTGCACTCAAGAAGTTCCATCATCTTGATAATTATTTTTTTCTCTGAAAAAATGCTTGAAATGGTGAAGAAAAAGTCATATATCCCAACTGATAGCAAAGGATTTAAAATCTGTTTCTAAAACAGGGTTTATATCAGCTGAATGTATGGGTCATAGGGGTGAACTTAGTGTATCATATCCCAGTGGGGACCATGTTATGATATTGCCTGACTTAGTATCACCATGGGGTAGCCTAGTGGTTAAGGCATTTGATTCCCCACAGTGTGTGAAGTCCATTTCTGGTGTCCCATTCCATGAGATTGCTGGAATATTGCTAAAAGCGGTGTAAGACTAAACTCACTCACTCACGACATGGCTTTGTGCACCTTCTCAAGCACTAGAGCAACTTTCAAGTGCACACAGTCTCTGACTGACATGCGAATGACATGTAGTCCCTGTACCCTGTTTGTTTCCCACATGCGTCTCTGGTCAGGGCTAATTTGGGGGAACCATATCAGGGCTCCAGATAATTTTTCAACATCAGGAGTACGTACTCCTTATTTGTTCAATATAGGAGTACTGGAAAACTTTTAAGTATACTCTTGTGTAAACAGGTCAATGAACAATAAAACAATACATTTTGCAGATAAATACGTCTGTAAATGATTGTAAGACCGTAAACCATTGCTGTGGTGCGTATCTTGCTATGTTTTCTAAATTATTTCCTACCATATCGTGCATATTTTTTATCCGTACATACGCCGATACAGACCTTATCTGGAGCCCTGCATATGATCAAAATGTGTGTCATTTTTTATGAAGGAGAAAGTGGAATTTGGGAATAAGCACTATTTCAGTAACTTTTAATCTTGTTATCCACCCAATAATGTGGCATTAAAGTTTTTGGTTGAACAGAATATATTGCTCATAGACCAAGGAAAATTTTTTTAAAGTAGTAACGACAAAAATAATAAATGTTTGGGTTGTGCTAATGTTATTTGTTGAACATTGTCAAAATATTCAGATTTGTTTTTTAATCCTATTAAGGTTGCAGATTATTGTATTTTCTGAAGATGTTAATATGAGTTGTGGGTTATTCTTTTACCTCCATCCTGAAAAAATGTAGGGTAGGGAGCAGGGATGACGGTGTCATGACAAACACGTTCTGCTACCTGACTAGGTGGGATTGTAAGTGTAATATGAACAGACACAGGTATGATCACAGGAGAAGCAATTGTAGGTGTACAGTATTTCAAGATGGCGATTGAAAGCTTATCAAGAGTTCTGATGACCTATCAGAGGCCCTGGTAATGATAAAAGTATTCAAGATGTACCAGTTGTGTGAAATGTAAGTTCTTGGTGGGAGAGACAACAAATTTCCAGATTAATGTCCCTTTTATATATAGACCACCCAACACTAATCATCTTAAAAGGAGTGTCCTGGTCTATCATGATTTATCTGTTTGTCATTCATACAGTCCATAGTGTGCATAAAATAGGATGGAATGTGGCGTTTCATTTGGAACATCTTGGTACAACATTTATTTCAAAATCTTGAACCAAAAATGTAGACATTTTTTCTTTATTCTTTATGAAAAGCAGCAACCTGTCAAAGACGTGACCAACCTGTACATGATGAGGAATATCATCTCAGTGTGACCGGTCTGTTAGGGATAAGGAATATCTCGTAGTGACCGGTCTGTTAGGGATAAGGAATATCATCTCGGTGTCACCGGTCTGTTAGGGATAAGGAATATCATCTTGGTGTCACCAGTCTGTTAGGGATAAGGAATATCATCTCGGTGTCACCGGTCTGTTACGGATAAGGAATATCATCTCGGTGTGTGACTGGTCTGTTAGGGATAAGGAATATCATCTTGGTGTGACCGGTCTGTTAGGGATAAGGAATATCATCTGTGTGTGACCGGTCTGTTAGGGATAAGGAATATCATCTCGGTGTCACCGGTCTGTTAGGGATAAGGAATATCATCTTGGTGTCACCAGTCTGTTAGGGATAAGGAATATCATCTCGGTGTCACCGGTCTGTTAGGGATAAGGAATATCATCTCGGTGTGTGACTGGTCTGTTAGGGATAAGGAATATCATCTTGGTGTGACCAGTCTGTTAGGGATAAGGAATATCATCTCGGTGTGACCGGTCTGTTAGGGATAAGGAATATCATCTCGGTGTTTCCAGTCTGTTAGGGATAAGGAATATCATCTCGGTGTTTCCAGTCTGTTAGGGATAAGGAATATCATCTCGGTGTGACCGGTCTGTTAGAGATAAGGAATATCATCTCGGTGTGACCGGCCTGTTAGGGATAAGGAATATCATCTTGGTGTTTCCAGTCTGTTAGGGATAAGGAATATCATCTCGGTGTGACCGGTCTGTTAGGGATAAGGAATATCATCTCGGTGTGACCGGTCTGTTAGGGATAAGAAATATCATCATCTTGGTGTGACCGGTCTGTTACGGATAAGGAATATCATCTCGGTGTGACCGGTCTGTTAGGGATTAGGAATATCATCTCGGTGTGTGACTGGTCTGTTAGGGATAAGGAATATCATCTTGGTGTGACCGGTCTGTTAGGGATAAGGAATATCATCTCGGTGTGACCGGTCTGTTAGAGATAAGGAATATCATCTCGGTGTGACCGGTCTGTTAGGGATAAGGAATATCATCTCGGTGTTTCCAGTCTGTTAGGGATAAGGAATATCATCTCGGTGTGACCGGTCTGTTAGGGATAAGGAATATCATCTCGGTGTGACCGGTCTGTTAGGATAAGGAATATCATCATCTTGGTGTGACGGTCTGTTACGGATAAGGAATATCATCTCGGTGTGACCGGTCTGTTAGGGATTAGGAATATCATCTCGGTGTGTGACTGGTCTGTTAGGGATAAGGAATATCATCTTGGTGTGACCGGTCTGTTAGGGATAAGGAATATCATCTCGGTGTGACCGGTCTGTTAGAGATAAGGAATATCATCTCGGTGTGACCGGTCTGTTAGGGATAAGGAATATCATCTCGGTGTTTCCAGTCTGTTAGGGATAAGGAATATCATCTCGGTGTGACCGGTCTGTTAGGGATAAGGAATATCATCTCGGTGTGACCGGTCTGTTAGGGATAAGGAATATCATCTCGGTGTTACCAGTCTGTTAGGGATAAGGAATATCATCTCGGTTTGACCGGTCTGTTAGAGATAAGGAATATCATCTCGGTGTGACCGGTCTGTTAGGGATAAGGAATATCATCTGTGTGTGACCGGTCTGTTAGAGATAAGGAATATCATCTCGGTGTGTGACCGGTCTGTTAGGGATAAGGAATATCATCTGTGTGTGACCGGTCTGTTAGAGATAAGGAATTTCATTTCGGTGTGTGACCGGTCTGTTAGGGATAAGGAATATCATCTCGGTGTGACAGGCCTGTTAGGGATAAGGAATATCATCTCGGTGTGTGACCGGTCTGTTAGGGATAAGGAATATCATCTGTGCAGGACCGGTCTGTTAGGGATAAGGAATATCATCTCGGTGTTTGACCGGTCTCTTAGGGATAAGGAATATCATCTGTGCAGGACCGGTCTGTTAAGGATAAGGAATATCATCTCGGTGTGTGACTGGTGTGACCAGTCTGTTAGGGATAAGGAATATCATCTCGGTGTGTGACTGGTGTGACCGGCCTGTTAAGGATAAGGAATATCATCTCGGTGTGACCAGTCTGTTAGGATCAGACATATCATCTGCTTCGTGTTCTGTGAGTAATTGTCAGCATCCACACTGAAACTGGAATGGCTGCATGACACCAGGTGTTGAGATGTGACTATCCTAATTCACTGTTGTAGTTAACTAGATGTGCCACTAACTCCAAAATCCCAGCACGCTAACACTGCAAATCAAACAATGTTGAATGTACCGACAGATGCTTACTGATTTCAAACCTAATGGTGTTTATTGTTGCATACTATGCAGACAACGAATCATGAAACTTGCACATAACCCACAAATGTTGTTTTGTAATGATGACTAACAATAAAGTTGACCTGGAATCGTGTTCATGTGATGTTTAACAGCAATCAAGAATTTGGGGATTTTTTTTTTCTGCTTTTTATTTTCTTGCTTCTAGTAGGTAGCTACTTTAGTTGCTTTGAATGTTTGCAGTGATATTGTGATAGGCTTTGAATATTAGTTGTCACTCAGCACTCTACATTTATTATGTACATTAGCACCGCTTTTTTCTTATGCTCTTTAATCAAGCTAACTTAAAAACGTTTCTTGTTTCTTGAAAAAATGGATAGTGATGTTAGTTTGTTATGTGAAGTTATGTGAAGATATATCAAATGCTTTTCATAAACTGGAATTAGGATTAAATTCGTAATTCTTTCATATATATTCATATGCCATTCTTCACATAGTCTGTGAATAAATTATTCAAATTATTATGACGACACACTTAGTTCCAGCCAACAGTTTTCATCTTCTGTGGTCTTTGTTTTCTAACTGTAGATGACCAGCAAGATTTGTTGGTATGAATAAACATCAGGAGAAATATAGTGAGTGAGTGAGTGAGTTTGATTTTACACCGCTTTTAGCAATATTTCAGCAATATCACAGCGGGGGACACCAGAAATGGGCTTCACACATTTTGCCCATGTGGGGAATCGAACCCGGTCTTGGGCGTGACGAGCGAACGCTTTAACCACTAGGCTACCCCACCGCCCCTGGAGAAATATAGAAATACGAGAATGTGAAGACACTCCGAGAACTGTGTTATTTCAAGCACTAGAGTTGCTATATGGCTGAAACAATGCTGATGTGACGTTAAATTCTAACCCACTCACTCACTCAAATCACAAGGAACATGTTATCTACTATTTGTTGCAAGCAAGGTGATATAATGGTAGCATTGTTAGTCATGAAAGCTAATCACATTTAAGAAAATGTTCCTGTTTCCCAGTTGTTTAACAATAAAACAATCTAATGTAGCATACATGATACTATTTACTAAGTTTCAAAACGTGTGACCTTTTATTGTGACCTTTTACTGCAGATAGGGGTGGTGGGATAGCCCACTGGTTAAAGTGTTAACCCGTCATGCCGAAGACCCAGTTCGATTACCACATGGGTACAGTGTGTGAAGCCCATTTTCTGGTGTCTGCCACTGTGATATTGCTGGAATATTGCTAAAAGTGGCGTAAAACTAAACTCACTTATTTGCTCGCTCACTCAATACTGTGGCCAGATAAGGTTAGGTGACGTTAGGTTTTGCATACATTTGGTTTGACTTACAAATATGGCACATAACCAGTTAAAGATGGCCACACCTGAACATTCAGTTAGTTCCTAGTTTGAAAGTTTCCATGTCCAGTTAAACAATATTGTTGTTGAAATCACTGGAGGTGTAGTCCCAGGTGTTTTGTATGTGGCTTAGAGCACGGCATCAGCTAGGCTTCCGCTTCAAGCTTCACTGACAAGGCATGACCAAATCATTGTTTTTTTTAAATAAATACAGGAAAACCATTACATTATTTGTCCTTGTCCTTTGAAGACACGTGAATATCCAGGTTAGAATTGGTCGTCAGCAAGCCATGCTTGTCGTAAGAGGCGACAAACGTGATTGGGTCTTCAGGATCGCTGACTTGGTGACATTGTATATAATCACTGGATTGTCTGGTCCAGTCTATATTATTTACAGAAAGCCGCCATATAGCTAGAATATTGCTGAGGGCAGCATTAAACAACAAATCCAACCAACCAATCTTTTACATTAGATACTGTTCTGGAGTGTGTTAAAATCAGTATAAGAAATTAGTTTTCATGTAAATGTACTTATAATGAATTATGTGATATTAATGACAATTGTGGGGGGAATTTTTCACTGGAATTATTTTGTTTTTCCTATTTGTTAATCTTCAGAGAAGTAGATTTGTACAATTTATGATAAAATAAATGAATTCCAATCCAGATTATTGAGTCTCAAATTAACACAAAACATGTTTTTTGCATTCAGGAGCTGATCAGACAGAAAGCAGATTATGAACGGCGGAAAAAAGTTGCCGAACAAATTCGGCGTCAACAGGAGGAAGAAGAGGTGAAAAACGATGAGAAAGAGGAGCGAAGACGGGCTGCAATCAAAGTACAGGAGGAACAGAGGGCAGTGATAGAACGACAACGAGAACAACAGAGAGAAGAAGCACGCCTCGCGGAAGAAGCACATGCCCAGGAGGAAGCTCTCAGACAGGAAGAAGAGAGGATGAAGGAGGAGGCTCGATTGAGAGAAGAGCAACAAAGGAGGGAGGAAAGTCGGCAAGCAGAACAGCGGAAGCCAGAAGGTGTTCGAAGAGTCAAAGGAGAGAGCAAGTATGTATTGTCTGGAAGCTTTTATTGTTTGCTTTGGGGATAATTTAGTGGAGATGCATGTTCTTATGAATCAAAGATTACCGGCCCAGAGGCGATTGTATTGGTTTGCCATTTGACAGTCCATGATCATGTATGAGACTTATGATTTGCAGAGTGATCACTTTTTGCAAGTGAACTAACATGATACTGGTAAAGAAATTTAAGCTGAACCTTGACCGGTCCTCTCAGGAATTGCAACGGTCAGAGTCAACTGACACATGTCACCAGACGTGCGACAAGGACGTACATTATCTTAAGATCCTGTAATTCCTTGTACAGGGGTTATGACAGCATCAAACTCTGTGGTAAGATCTCCCAATAATTCGGACAATGTATACATTTTGATGGGGCCTTGCGGAAACCTATTAGAGAAAGAGCTGAACATCTGACTTTGATTCCCTCTTGCTCTCCTCCTGATGATGCTGTCAACGCGTCTGGTTATGCCAGTAATTCGGACAATGTATACATTTTGATGGGGCCTTGCGGAAACCTATTAAGAAAGAGCTGAACATCTGACTTTGATTCCCTCTTGCTCTCCTCCCGATGATGCTGTCATGGCATCTGGTTATGCCAATAGGTTTATCTTAGGTTTCTTTACCTTGTGACATCTGAGGATACCTTGACTAAAGTTAGATCCAAGGTTTGACTGCTGCATAATGCACAAATGAAAGTCTTGATGATTTCCATTGTTTGCCACTTCTGGAGCTGTCAGTGTCTCACCCAGGTAGGAGAGTACACATGTGGTCTCACCTTAGGGAAGTGAGTTTGTTCACCCAGGTAGGAGAGTACACATGTGGTCTCACCTTAGGGAAGTGAGTTTGTTCCCCAGGTAGGAGAGTACACATGTGGTCTCACCTTAGGGAAGTGAGTTTGTCCACCCAGGTAGGAGAGTACACATGTGGTCTCACCTTAGGGAAGTGAGTTTGTTCACCCAGGTAGGAGAGTACACATGTGGTCTCACCTTAGGGAAGTGAGTTTGTTCACCCAGGTAGGAGAGTACACATGTGGTCTCGCCTTAGGGAAGTGAGTTTGTTCACCCAGGTCAGAGAGTACACATGTGGTCTCGCCTTAGGCAAGTGAGTTTGTTCACCCAGGTAGGAGAGTACACATGTGGTCTCGCCTTAGGGAAGTGAGTTTGTTCACCCAGGTAGGAGAGTACACATGTGGTCTCGCCTTAGGGAAGTGAGTTTGTTCACCCAGGTAGGAGAGTACACATGTGGTCTCGCCTTAGGGAAGTGAGTTTGTTCACCCAGGTAGGAGAGTACACTTGTGGTCTCACCTTCGGGAAGTGAGTTTGTTCACCCAGGTCAGAGAGTACACATGTGGTCTCGCCTTAGGCAAGTGAGTTTGTTCACCCAGGTAGGAGAGTACACATGTGGTTTCGCCTTAGGCAAGTGAGTTTGTTCAAAATTGCCTCTGTTCACCCAGCGGAAAATGGGTACCCAGTGGGATGAGTAATATGACTGTTAACCTTCTAGCACCTTACAGGCAGCTTGGATTATCCAGGGTAATAATGTCCATGTTTTATGTGCATAGAGCATGTCCCTGAAGCGTGGAGTTAGAGCTATATAAGTGGCCATAATATTATGGTGTGGAACAATACTCAGAAATTACTATTCACCACCATTAACAATACACATTACTTAATTTATCTGTGTGATCATACTGTTTTATTTGTATTTGTGTTCTCTTTGTGTTTCTCAATTATTGAGTCTTATGTATACAATAAGACACACCCACCGCCCGACCTGGTTGGGACACTGACAGTCATTTACCATGAATTAGTACAGAACTGAAACAGGTGGCATGAATCCCGTGTGTAATGTTTGATATTATTTTCTGTGAACTTTCTTTATATTAACAGTAATACAACAATTAACCCACTAACACAGCACTCTTGAAACTGAATGTAATTTGATCAAATATCTGCTGCTGCCCCTTGAGTGTTTGAAATGGTGTTTGTTTTAGTTACTGATATTAGTGGCTGTTACACTATTTGTTGCAAGGTAATGAACATTTTGAAATACCCAAACACTCAAGGGGTTAACAGAAATGTATGAAGCACATTAACCCTCACTGAGCTGACAGTTGCATGATGGTCTGTCTCTCTCTTGCTTCTCCGTGTCACTCAAGTTGCCATGTTTCTCATCAGGGCTAGAGTGACGTCACGGCGGAGTACAGTAGATAACATTGCCAGGTATACTATGGTAGAAAATCAATGGTTAGTGCAAGTCTGATATCCAGAATCACCTCGGGATCTCACTAGGCGCTTAATAATTAAGATGAAATTGTATTCCCAGTCAGAAAGAATTGTGATAGATTTATTGTCCTCCCCTTCCATTATTTTAATCCCCTTATACTTTGATAAATTATACCTTTGTATCAAATTACACACCTTTGATGCAGCCTAGAGATTCTGTATATCAGACAAACATTTTGAGCACTTGATGAGTCAGTGTTATGGTGAAGGAGCAGCAGGTTGTGACCGGAAAGTCTATATTGAGGTGAAGGGGCAACAGGTTGTGACAGGAGAGTTCATGTCGAGGTGGAGGGTTTACAGGTTGTTGTCAGTGCAGTTTGCTTTTAGTACAGCCTGATCTGTGGTCCACAGGATCTCCGCAGTGCCAGACAATGCCTTGCTGCTTCTGCTATCACATAGATATGTAGACATCTTGTAGTGTTTTGCTTGGCTTGAGGCAAAATATGTATCTTACGTCTTGCTCTCTCACTATCACTTTCTTGAGGGTATGTTTGCAATGGTTTTCCTGGTGAATTTCACCGGTGTACCAAGAAATCTCTGTCATCCAGTTGCAGCAGTATTTACGTTTGAAGTATTCTCAGTGTTGGCACCACAGGGGTTAAAGGATTTTTCATCGAACATGGACACAAAATATTGCAGGGGATTTAGAAAATAATAGAAACTGTTTACATGTTTAATGCAAATCATAAATAATTTTGGTATGGACCTCAGTTAAACATACAGTATAATTAATGTTCAGTTTATGGCCCAAACTGTTCAGAGAAGATATAAACTGACAGGTCACTGTATCATTTAAGAGGCAGACAGTTGCAGAGTGGTTATAGCAAATAATACTGAAAGAACAGGTTTGATTCCCAACCTGGGCACAACATGTTTCAGTTGGTGGAATATTGCTGACAGTGGAATCAAATCTCACTCACTCACTCACTCACTCACTCACTCACTCACTCACTCACTCACTCACTCACTCACTCACTCACTCACTCACTCACTCACTCCACTCACTCACTCACTCTTTCAAGTCAGTGTTGGGTATTGGGGTAGTCGAGAATATTTACAACATGTGAGGAAAGTATTCGACCCAATCTTAAACAATGCCTGACCTTATCTCCTGCCTGTGTACAGAAGGGCAGAGGTGTGGGTACCACACACAGGTGCAAGTCTGGCACCGTGTGCTGAAACTCAGCCTACATCTACTGACTGATATATCTGAGGGTGGATTGTGTGTATGGAGGAATGTTTGCTATGATGTCTGCAGCAATAGTCTATATCATGGTGGTCTGTAAATAGTCATATAGGGACCAGGCAAACCAGTGATGGATAGGGTGAACATGCTGTCAGGTCATGATGACCTAATCATTTCTGTCTCAAATTGTAACAACCTGTTCATCATATGAAGCTACCTGCAGCAAGCACTGGGACCTATTCTGTCCCGGACTTGATAGTATTTGTGTAATAGTTAATAGTTAACATTGAACATATTTGTACTATAACCTTGGTCTAACTTTATTGTAACTGTATAGTATTTCTTAGACTTTTAGTGTGCAGATAACACAGTTTGAAAATTAATACTGAAAGAACATACTGGTAAAAGATAATAGGTTTGGTTTGTCTGTTGTTTAACGCCACACTCAGCAATATTCCAGCTATGTGGCGGCAGTCTGTAAATACAGTCAAAACCCGTTGTGTCGAACTTGTCACGACCAAGGGAACAGTTTGACTTAACCAAGTGTTCGACACATCCGTCAGCATAGAAATAATGATAAATATAAGGAAATCTACAGGGACTGAGAGATAAGTTTGACACAACTGAGAATTGGTCTCAACCGAGTTCGAGACATTGGGGTTCGACTGTAGTCAATTCTGAACCAGTCAATCCAGTGATCAACAGCATGAGCCACAATCAAAACAATTCAGATACGATGACATGTGTCAACCAAGTCAGCGAGCCTGACCACCCGTTCCTGTTAGCTTCTTACGACAGCCATGGGTTGCTGAAGACCAATCCTGACCCTGATCTTCTTGGGTCTATAAATTATGTATATAATCGTTGCCCATGAATAATTTGTCCTTACTTTTACAAATGCTTTTCCTAATATTCCCCATTTCATGTGTGGTTTGTGATTAGTGTACTTCCTGAGTTTGATAAGCCATTGAAGATATATGTCTGACCTAAAGAGACGTTAAGGATTCCGAGGGGGGGTTTTGATAAGGAAGGTTGTGTTTCTTCAGATTTTGATGGAGTAGGCGAGTGGGGATAAACAATGCTTACAAATATACAAAATATATTCCAAGTCCAAGTGAAACAAAATAACATGTACACGAACAAAAGTAAGGAATAAACTAGATCTCCTACACTGATCAACTATGGAACTACAACCTGTGATGCCAAGGTTCATCATATACAGGGGCTGTGGGGTAGCCTAGTGGTCAAAGCATTCGCTAATCACACCCGACCTCGATTCCACACATGGGTACAATGTATGAAGCCCATTTCTGGTGTCCTGTGCTGTGATACTGCTGTTATATTGCTAAAAGCAGCATAAAACTAAACTCACTCACTCACTCCATCATATACAATACAAATGACAAAAATCATCAGGTGAATTGTACTTATCAGCCTTGACTTATCTGAAAGGTCATTGGGTATAATCACCATCCCACATACGAAGCTTCATGACAGAGGTAGCTAAGTGTAGATCTCTTGTGTGAGTCAGGTATGATGGAAAGCAACGAGGAGTACATCTGTTAAGAGCAGTACTAGGATGACACTGACTGAAATAGCTGTAGTCTATATTGGCTGGAAGTCAGTCAGTGGTTGAGGGGCAGTGGGAAGCCTAATGGTTAAAGCTGCTGCTCTTCACGCCGAAGACCTGGGTTCAATTCCCCACATGGGTACAATGTGTGAAGCCCATTTCTGATGTCCCTTGCTGTGATATTGCTGTAATATTGCTGAAAGCAGTGTGAGACCATACTCACTCACTCTGTTAGTGGTTGAGGCATCACACCCCAGTGTGTGAGTTATGTCCCTTAGTTGAGTCAGGATCTCCTGGTCAAGATTAAAAAATCAGATTTATCAGTATTGGAATAAGCATGACTGTCCATGGATCCATGTCAATGGTCAGATTTGTCGAGGTCTATCAGTATTGGAATAAGCATGACTGTCAGTGGGTCCATGTCAGTGGTCAGATTTGTCGAGGTCTATCAGTATTGGAATAAGCATGACTGTCAATGGGTCCATGTCAGTGGTCAGATTTGTCGAAGTCTATCACTATTGGAATAAGCATGACTGTCAGTGGGTCCATGTCAGTGGTCAGATTTGTCGAAGTCTATCAGTATTGGAATAAGCATGACTGTCAGTGGGTCCATGTCAGTGGTCAGATTTGTCGAAGTCTATCAGTATTGGAATAAGCATGACTGTCATTGAGTCCCATGTCAAAAGCCTATTGTTCAATTTTCAGAAAAATATGGCCTCTTCTAATATTAACTTAGTATGGGAGCAAACCTATAAATTCAAAATCCAACTATGGTCATGTTTCACACTTGTGTAAATCTAGCACACATGAACTTGCTCACTATGACATATTTTCATAAATTGAAAGATATTAAATGTCCCTTCAGTTAATGACACTGGAGTCAAGTCCTTCTGTGGACACTGATTTTTAGGATCCACTGAAGATGATTCTGAAAGAAACTTTTATATTATTTTATGTACATAATAAATAAACAGGTGTTGGCATATCTTGTGTTATGATTAAATTTAGTTATGTTCAAATGTGTTTTGCAGTTTAGATGCCAGACTAGAATACCAGATATATTGTTATTTCCTGTAATCACTGATCACAAGGGGGGGGGGGTTAAAGCGTTTGCTTGTCAAACCAAAGACCAGGGTTTGATTCCCAACATGGGTACAAAGTCTGAAGCCCTTATCTGGTTTCCATCGCCATGATATTGCTGGAGTGTTGCTAAAGCGGCGTAAAACTAAACTCACTCACTCACTGATCACAGCATGGTGTGTGGAGGTTCTTACCAAACCCGGTGATAACTTTCCCTCATGTGCATTTCATTTGACATTCTTGGCACCACCCAAGCTATATTAAGCTTTCACAGAGATCAACAAGCAGGAGAATTTCACCTGGTTGTGTTGGGTATCTGCGCTGAATTGGCTTTTTGATGCTGAAGGGAATAGTAGAAGCATGGTTTTATGTTTGATAAGAAATGACAAAGAGATTTATATATATTTGAAATACTTTTAATAATGAATATTAACATATTGGTGTTTATATGAATTCAAACATTACTGGGTTTAAAGGTTGATATTCAATGATGATTGGGGTTTACAACCCTCTGCCTGTCTCCTGAATACCTAAACATTCATGGCACACCTGGAAAATCTAACATGACAAATTGGATCTGGTCCCTCCCACCCCACGTGCCCAGTTTCTTAACATTTTGTCGTTATTGTCCCTTATTTCACTGTGCCACTTACAAACTGACCACAAGCCATAATAATTGGCTGTTCCACCCACACCACACCACACACACACCACACACCACCACACACCACCTAGTTTCTTTTCATAACATATGGGGGCGGTGGGGTAGCCTAGTGGTTAAAGCGTTGGCTCGTCACGCCGAAGGCCCGGGTTCGATTCCCCACATGGGCACAATGTGTTAAGCCCATTTCTGGTGTCCCCCGCCGTGATATTGCTGGAATATTGCTAAAAGCGGCGTAAAACTAAACTCAGTCAGTCAGTCATAACATATGACATTTACAAACAGATCACACATTATAATAATTGGGTGTCTCCCCAACTCCGGGCATTTCCCCCACCCCAGCAACCATGCCGATCTGCAACTTAAACATTACTCATATTTTACACAACATGTAAAGGAGAAGGAGCCTCAACAACAATATTCACCAGTAGTTCGGTCTGTGTTAAATTGCTCTGCCAGGCCTCCTTGTTGCCATGACATCCTTATATAATCAACATATGAATAAAAACCTTCAAGACAGCTGAAAGTTAAGGAGAACTTTAGAAGGAGATGATGACTCATAGCATGAAACAAGAAGGTTTTCAAATATGCAGATTTCTGGGAGCAAAGGTGTCACACATGCTCTGTGACTGGTTTATGTCTGAATGTATTGTTCAATACTGAGACTCACTAATTGTCAGTGCAGTCAGAAAGGAACAGAATAATTACATGTTTAAGTAGAAAAACAGATGTTTTCTTGGTCTGCTTATGTTTTTACAGTTGTTTCAAATCCTGTTCCACCAACAAAGAATTATATAACTTCAAAGCCCACCCCAATAACCTGGCCACTGAGACTGTGAAGTGACATGGACTATTTACAGCAGCAGCAGCAGCAACATCGTTGTTGTTGTTGAGGAGGAGGAGAAACTGTGTTTAGATGCATGACTCATGCACTAGGCTGTATCTAAAATAAGGAGGGGATGGATAGCACAGCCATCCTGTCTTTCAAGTTAACAAGCACCTGTTAAAGTAATGCTTAGCATGTTTATGGGCAGCGTTCTTTGTGGTGCAGTTATGATGTTTGGATCAGTCTTGTTATGACACTGACAGAAAGGAATTGGTAAAAGTAGGTTGTATTTTTAGCCCGGAACTGGATCTCGTTTTCTTGGACCAGTTATTTGGGCAGGTGTTTGTTATGTAGGGATGTGGCGTCAAGTTATCCCAGGGCGGAAGCTAGGACCAATCACATTGAGATATGCAGAAACTAGCGGCGTAGTATATCACAGGTATTGCTAGAGCAGATATACGTGCAGGTTTTTCCTGAATGGATAGATAGGCTTGATTTGGAGTAATCGTGATGTTTCTCTGCAATTTTATGATAGGTGAGTTGCTTAAATGCTAAGGAGATTATGCTATCTGTCTTGAAGCTGCTTATACAAGGGTCGAGATATGGTTGTGGAGTTATGCATTTTAGGCCGACATAGTTTGCTTTTTTGCAGTATGTGCTTTTTCGTGAAATCTGCATGTTGAAAGATGGGACTAGTTTAATTAGGAAAGTGATGTTTGATCATTGTCTTGTTTGAACGTGTGACATAAGGAGAGAGATGAGATCTTCTGTATTTTTATGGTACAACCATTGTCATTTTGTGCAGCATCTGAGAACTAAACCCACGAAATATGTTCTTGTTTTGAAAACCACTGTATGTTCTTACACATGATGACAATGGATTTCAGCATTAAAGTATTATATCATGTGACAAGAAATACAGGATTACGATCCTCATTAAAGCAGACCACCACAGTAGTAATAATGTCTAGTCACACAGCAGAAACCTCAGCTTCCGATATTGGAGACAGATAGTAGAGATTAAAAGAATGTTTTTTTTCTAATTGACATTGAGAGGTCCACAAGTTGTTTAACATTGTGTCCTCATTTTGAGTCATGGCACTGTGAGTGCATCATGGTAGACATAATGTTTCCCCATCAACTGTTTGGCATAGCGTTTAAGTGGTCAGTGTCAAACAGGACTAGGGAGCCATTTTCATAATGATCTCGAGCCTAACACTGTCTGTGTTAATGTGTTTTAGATAAGATAGCCTTAAAGCTAAGATCTCTTTGGGGAAATGAACCTGGATGTAATTACCTATAGCACCTGATTCCTTCCTTCTTGCTTCACTGTAACACTATGTCTCTGGGGCAGTTGTCTATGATCACACCAATCCGTGAAGATGTGGGTTAGATTTGGTCTTCAGTAACCGATGCTTGTCGTAAGAGGTGACTAACGGGATCGGGTGGTCAGGCTCGCTGACTTGGTTAACATATGTCATCGTATACCAATTGCATAGAACGATGCTCATGATTTTGATCACTGGATTGTTTGGTCCAGACTCGATTATTTTTAGACTGCCGCCATATAGCTGTAATATTGCTTAGTGCAGCATTACACAACCAACCAACCTTTGCTTCTTGCTTCAGTGTGACACTCTATCTCTAACACCTTCTTCTTCTGACTTTCTTGCCCATGCAACGTTACAGCCTGTTACCAGTGTTCAACCTGAGATTGCATGGACCTTTTTATTTCAGCTTGGGCTACCCAGCCACGTTGCATGAAGACTACTATGGTAGAACGTATGATTACGGTAGCTATGAATATAACGACCATAGCTTCTACATCTCAGACTATGGTTATAGGTCAGTGGCAACACATCACCAGCCAGTGTAGTGTAGCATGCTTTCCCAATTTGTATCTGTGTGTGCTTCTGTCGTAATAATCATGCTCTTGTCAACTTAACATTGTGTATTTTCATATTGTTCCCATTTTGTTTTTAGAAGTGTTGGTACTTTTCCAAACAAAGATGCTTGTTTGATTTTTATGTATATATATTATATTGTCTTCGTCTTTTTATGTTTCTGTGGATTGACCTTTATTTGAAGTTTTACATAACACATGATCTATAAAAAGATTTGTACCTGAAGATCTAGTCAAATAAAATTCAGAAATGAACAATATTTTTGGGTATAAACCTATGAAGGAAAACAAAGATTTATTTTCTCTGCCTCTCTTTTCTGTTTGTTTTGGGTCAAGCATTTAACTGTATTGGCTGTGATAAATCATAATGACCAATTATTAAAACAAAAACAAATAAACTAGCATGTATGTTTGGAAAGAACCAGATCATGATAGATGTGTTTCATACTACTGGTCTTACAACAAGTCTTGCCCAGTCTAGAAAAGGGGAAGTTTGGCATATTGGAAACATATTGTCTTGAGTAAGATATTTAACCCTTTCACCAAATGGTGACAGTGCTACAGTCCACCTGAAAGGGTTAAGTATGTTTATTCCTGACAGCCTCATGGTAAAGGAGCATGTAGCAATTATGAATATCTAGTGGGTGTTGAAGTAGTCTAGATACTTGTTGGGTTTAAGGTCAACCTGCATCTGGGAACAAACTTTGTGTGTGCAAAATAGAAGACATTATGCTAAATTTCCTGTCTTTCATGAAGCATTTGGATTTTAATAAGGCTTACCTTGCTCTAAACTGTCATAATTATTTAAGCTTAATGTAAATGCAAGTATGTTCCGAAACTCGTAATACAGCATTGCTGTATATAGCCCTACGCAGGTTCCAGACAATGTCCTGCTTGTAGCTTAATAAATCATACCTTGACACATTGTGATTGGTCAGGTAGTTGTGAAGGAGTTGGGCCTTTGCTTTGTTTTCAGATAATTTCACTGTGTGTAGGTGGTTTGAAATCATTGCCATTTTTTGCAGGAATCAAGGCTTTTCACAATCAATTATCATATATATTATGTAATCATTAAAATAATAAATCAAGAATTATAAAAAGTGTATTGCATGAAATTTATAGGTCATCTTGCATGCATGTTGGTACATCTCTTTACGAACATCCAAATTAAGATGAACCCAGATAGGATGTAGATATCTGTCTTTTCATTCAGTCGATCACACTCTTTGAGACTTTGTTTTATCATTCACATGTAGTCCACTGTCAAAATTATGACATTCAACGCACGTCCTTTTCCACCTATGTCCCTCTCATTCAGACATCTTTGAGACTTTGTTTTATCATTCACATGTAGTCCACTGTCAAAATGATGACATTCAACACACGTCCTTTTCCACCTATGTCCCTCTCATTCAGACACAGACAGGTGCTTGTTTCTGTAATATACACACTGTAATATACAAGTTTCTAAGAATAACATATTTTCCAGTGTACTGCAAGTATAATCAAACCAAAATATTGTTCTGAATTTTTATTCTCTTCAGATGATAATGATACATCAGTAATAACTCAGATCTTCTCAATACTTATGGGGGTGGTGGGGTAGCCTAGTGGTTAAAGCGTTGGCTCGTCACGTCGAAGACCCGGGTTCGATTCCCCACATGGGCACAATGTGTGAAGCCCATTTCTGGTGTCCCCTGCCGTGATATTGCTGGAATATTGCTAAAAGCGGCGTAAAACTAAACTCAGTCAGTCAGTCTCAATACTTATGATACATGCTGCTATGGATACCATAAGGTTTAATTTCTACTTGTTAATGACTGATAGTGTATGCAGTTGAAAAAAGACCAGCCAAGAAACCATCACTTTGCATGCTTATATATATCTTCCTCATATCATTCTGTAATTCATATAAAGATCACTTTTTATGAGTGATCATATTCTGCTGTACATCCATTTCTCTCTACTTCTGTTGTCTATAACTTTCAAGGTATTTTGAAGACATTCAGTTAAGCAACAAAGGTTTTTAAACTTTTATGTCAACTCTGTACCCAGTATGTTTAGTGTAAAAGTAAATTGTTTCACCTCATTCATACCGAAGACTTCTAATATCCAGTCTCATTCTGTCTTGAACTTTATAGGTTACATTCATGTTGAAAACTCTTATGCTCTGTTAAAGTACTTGCATTTGAACATTTTACTCTTTGATTAACAAACACCAGAACTACAAATTGTGTTAAGATATTGAATCGTATGTTTCCTTTGAGAAAAGTTTGATTGGTAATGTGGATTCTTCAATATTTGTATTGATAAGGTTATAGTTTGTACATTTGCGGTGTTAATGTATTGCAGGAAACAGCCTCTAAGTTCATCGTCCAGCTTTAAAGAGGACCGGAAAGCGCATAACAACACACAGTATCGTCGTACAACATCAGACACCGCAGCCCGACGTCTCCAGGGTAACCAGAACTCACATGTTGAGAACCTCAACTACATCAACCGCAAGTGAGTGATGGTATTGAAGTGGGGATGACCATGTGTTCACAGGTTCATATCTGTGTTTCAGTGTTTGCTGTTAACCAATCTGTGTCTTTCATGTTTCTCAAATAATATACGGGCCTAGATTTTCAAATTTCTCTTAGCGCTAAGATAGTTGTAAGTGCCATACATTAACATTAACATCAACCTATGACTATCTTAGCGTTAAGAGAGCTTTGAAAATTTGGGCCCAGTACTGTAAATGAATTTGACAATATTCTTTTACAGTGGTGTAGACGAAAACGTCAACAACTCAAGTTCCTCAACACCGATCCCATCTCCCAACCCTAGCCCCTCGGGCTCCCAGAATTCCATCCCTTCGAGCCCCTCCACGGGACCTGTCTCAGGCATCCCTTCTATCGCTAGAGTGAGGGAATCGGCCGACAAATCGACTCCCCACCAGAGCCCTGTTGTACGACGTGCCAAAGCAAGTGACAGAACGGGCGTGGCCAGTCCAACTCCCGGCCGTGGAACTACCCGTGCTGGTGGGACGACTTCAGGGTCAAGGTTACAGGGTACCACTAAGAGGAATCACAACACGTCTGTAAGTTGGAGAAAGTCCATACTGGAGGTTTAATCCTTACATGACTGGAATTAAACAATGAATGATCCACTAGCAATGAATCAGGCCTACCAAAGAAAACTTTCCCACTGTGCAGAAAAACGCAGAAAAGCCCACATTAATCATGGAAATAGCAACATAAACATAATACCTCGCTACTGAAACAGTGAAAACAGCAACTTTAAATCGCTAACACTGCATCATAAAACGAGGAGCCCGCAACTTCGATTTTGCGCCTGCGAACATGGAAGAGGAAGTCTCAACCGCATGTTGACATTTTCCAGCTTGGACAAAAGTTACATTCCTTTTTAAGTATTTCTATTGTGTTATTTGGCATTTATCATCATGATACTTGTGTGCACACTTATTTAGTTTACTTTCCATTCGAATGAAACAATTGACATCGATTATTTCGACATATTTAATACTTTTTTACGCGTGGCGATTCACGGTTGCTCGGAAATTGGAAAGAAGCCCGGATCGTAATGCGCATGCGCAGTAGAGGTCAAAGTTCGCTGATTACTATGAAAACTATGAAAATGTTGCAGTTTCATAGTTTTTCGTTGCAGTTTTTACTGTTTCAGTAGCGAGGTAATGTGTTTATGTTGCTATTTCCACGATTAATGTGCGCTTTTCTGCGTTTTTCTGCACAGTGGGAAAGTTTTCATGGTCCATGAAGATTCACAAATAATGACTGCATGGTGGTAAATCTAAGCAAATATGAGAAGAGTTAAAATACTCCATGTTGGATAAGAAAATTCAGTTTGAAGACATACACTCCTTCATTTGTCTAAATGGCAAGAGCCTTTGTTACAATATTTGTGAATCAACCTGATAGTAAACAGTCATTTAAATATGATGTCCATCATTTACAGTACAAGAATAATAATAAGTATATACCTATTTTGACTTTAATTAACCAGTCACAATCCAGTATTTACTGAAGTCATGGGAGAATAATACTTCTATTCCAGCAGCATGGAAATCAGTTTAGTAGAAACTGATATGAAATGTTTTACATGGAAATATATAATATGATGTAATTCTCCACAATGTTCATATGTCAATTGTAAATACCAAGATGATGCACATTAACTATAATATATAAGTTTTTAGTATCGACATTGAAACATTCCATTGAGAACAGGCTGCAGCACAAGTGAAGCACCCTGAAAATAACCACGTAAACAAGGCAATCAGAGTTGTCTCCCGTACCTCGGACTGATTTGTGTACAATGTATAGACAGTCACTGATGCGCCTAATACCTTATGACATAGGCTAAGAAAATAGCTACATCTGTTCAACAACCAGGGAGGTAGTCTGTAATATTATATATGACCTTAGTAACCCATGAACACTGTTTGGACAAAATGCTGTCTGTAGTCGCTATTTTCTTTCCAGTAGTCATTTTTGGCCACATGAAAAATATGCATGAGTTTCAAAATGAAATATAGAGATTAAACCGAATCAGCTAAACCAGTAACTATTTTCATGAGTGCTTCAAACAAACTTGCTGTACATATCTGTAAACATCATTGATGAAAGATGTGATTCAACTATAAATAACGTATGTAATCAAGTGTTAGCTAATGCTTCTGTTGATCCAGGAAGTTTAGCCTGGCATATTAATTTGCAGTGTGGTGGCCAAAGGGAGATAACTCCCAGAACCTGAAGATGACTGCAGTACTTGGTCTAGAGTTTATGTACATCATGCATTTGCCAATTTGTTCAGTCTATTCTTACCTGGTCATGCAGCTGACCTGATATTAACACTTGTAAATACAATCTTCACACAATGGTGATGTTTTCCAGGAAGAAGAGTTCAAGCAGAAGCACCAGGCCATGAAGAACCAGCACAGCCAGGAGTCCCACAACCTCAAGAAGAAGCTGGAGGACTCCAAGCTGAAGACCATCCAAAAAGACGCGGTGCATAACTATGTGTCCAAGGTTTCCGCAGCACGCTCGGTACACACTCTCTCACTGCACTCACAGGGCAGGGGCTGTTTGGGAGACATGGGCTAGAATTTTACGCAGGCCTTCTATATCATTTTAACCCTGGGATCCCAAATCCATAGGATTAGGGTTGTGATAGATATACTTTGAAATATGTTTTTACTTCCAATCCTTGAATAAAGTCAATAGAATTAATGTCTGCATTAAATCTGTCCATTCATTGAATATGTCATGGTTCAATCGTATATGTGTCACAGAAGTACTTTATTCAGAAACTATGACAGTAGCCTGGCGTTGTTGATATTTTGAGATAGCGATCCTTCTTAGCTGTAATCTTAATGTAGGTAAGTAGATTGTGGTGTTTATCACATTTCTCTGTGAAATAAACAAGAAGTTGTCTTCCATAAAGCTATATGCTTCATTTGTTGAATAGCATAGATTCTGCAAAATTTCAAAAGAATATTACCACGTTGGATATTCTAAACAACTGTGATCATTTGTCATTCTGAACATGTATTTGTTGGAGTAAGTACAAAGAAGTTTTTGGAGTTGTTTTGTATGAAGAATATTTCAGTTGGTCATCTGTCACTAGCGTGTGTCTGTCCTTATTGTGGATGAAAATGAAAATATGTCTGTTCATTGGGACATTTTGTAGATCATAAAACTGGAAACTAGTGGCAGAACCTGAGGTGGTTGTGAGAATCTTTTTCAGACATTAAGGATTGAATCAGCTTGTTGGCAAGGGAGGTCTTGTGCTGTTTATAAATCAAACTGACGTCTGCCCAGTGATTTCTTATTTCCTCCCTTTCTACATCTTCTCCCACTTCACATTTACTCACTGTTGGTCTTCAAGTTTGTACTGATTTCAGTTTCTAGTTAAAGTATCACCATCTCTTTATTTCCATGTTCATTTGAATCCTGTTGTTACAGTTGTCTCCCCTTTCAGTCTGTTTCCTAGCAACTACTATTGTAAAGTCTAAATGTGTTACTATCACTGCATGCCTCACCACTATCAACTGTTATGGAAAACATGTCTAATATGATATTATTTGCACAATTATTTGTCATTTTCATGCGGTTAAGGACAAGGTATGATAAATAATGTATAAATGTGGTTATTGACTGTTCAGAATTTTAAATAAAAATAGCCCATGCTGCAACAGTAGCCACAGCTGGAATGTAAAAGTTCACTGTAAAAGTTTTAGAATCTTTTCACTGCGTAAAATATGAGTACAAATCATTAAAATTGTTTCATTATCGAAGTTGAAACAATCTCCATTAATCTGCCTCTAAAATGTTTAATGTGTGTACATTCGATCCATCTGAATTTGATCCTTAACTATGTAAGAATGATATTATAAGACTGATTTGTCTGTTACAGAGAGGTGACGTTGAGGAACGGAAACGCTCAATGACACCTCGCAACACAAACGTGGGCACAACACGAGGTACGCGATCTGGTAAGTGTCTGAATGGACAAACAGACAGACACCCCAAATCCAGAGACACACACTCAGGACCAGGTATGTCAGCCAATAAGGCACCACCGGGTTGTGGATCCTACTGTCCTGCTGACTGCTTCTGTCCTGCTGCTGCTACTTTACTGACAACTAGCTTCAATCTTTGAGTGAACCTCACATGGATGAATGTTAGACGGGAATGCCACCAGACTCTCTCTTTCTGTCTGTTTTCTTATATTCACAGAGTTTGAAAGCTTTAACTCTGCAGAAAGGTTTTATCAATGAATAGATTTTGAGGTATTATTCGAAATTAAGACATCTAATGATGTTGCACAAGACTCCTTAAGCTTATTAATTGTTAATGAAACATTAGACTATATGCCTTGATTTGGAATACTAACTTTGAGACAAGTACATGTGAAACCCACACAGTGAGGTACTGTTTGAATTCACAGTATAGAAGAATATATTGAAGTTAAGACTGAATATCTACAGATAGGTTTAGATACATATATACTGACTTAATTCTTGGATGAACAGGTAAGACTAAATGATACTTATGCAGTTTCATTATATGTTATCAATACAACATCTTATATAATTATTATCATAAATGATTGAAATATACTATATGTACTCTCCTGTTCCGTAGATTAAGCCTGGTCTTGCTTTTTGCAGTGTCTCGGCATGACAGATTTCTGGTTGTCTTAATGACCTTGCATTATTCATAGAATGCCAACCCTTTTTAACCACCCATTATATATCCATAACCATGTCTATAGCCCTCATTACCCACAAGTGGTTGCAGCATGTTGCAAGATACGAGTGACCATGGTTTAATGTGTCTGGTTGCAATAATAGTCTTCTGTCTTTACACTTTGAGATTTGACTGACTGACTGAGTTTGGTTTTACGCCGCTTTTAGCAATATTCCAGCAACATCACGGCGGGGGACACCAGAAATGGGCTTCACACATCGCACCCATGTGGGGATTCGAACCCGGGTCTTCGGCGTGACGAGCCAACGCTTTAACCATTAGGCTACCCAACCGCCCCTTTGAGATTTGAGGTATCTCAGTGGTTAATGTGTCAGTTTGTCATGGTGAAACCAGGTTGAATCACAAAATGGGTATGGCGTTTCCTTCCATTGTTCCTCCTTTGTGAATGGGAAACTCTCAAATCAACATCACACTGTCACAATCCTGTAAGATAGGGAGTGACTGAGCGAGAAGGGTTTTTGTATTCTGTAGGCCCAGGTTTTATCCCCTACATGGTTACAATGTGTGAAGCCCTTTTCTTATATCCTCCGCCATGATATCACTAGAATATTGCTAAAAGCAACAGACACCATACTCAGTACAGTGTTGTCTCACATTGTTACATTTTCACCTGGGAGGAAGATATGAAGGGTTAGATGTCATGTGACTTGGGTGGAGTGGGGGTGATATTATCTTGTTTCTGAGATGTCCATTTCTTTCATGAAGGGTTAGATGTCATGTGACTGGGTGGAGGGGTGATATTATCTTGTTTCTAAGATGTCAAATTTCTTGGGTCATGTTTAGGGCATGTTGAGATGTGATGAATGGTGACTGGGTGGAGTGGGGGTGATATTATCTTGTTTCTAAGATGTCCATTTCTTGGTCATGAAAGGGTTCATGTGACTGGGTGTGACTGGATGTGGAGTGAAGGGGGTAAACATACATTTCAGAGATGTCCATTTCTTATAATTGGTGTTGAAGGGTTATTAACAAAGATAAGATTTACTGGGTGGAGTGGGGGTGATATTATCTTGTTTCTAAGATGTCCATTTCCTTCATGAAAACTGGGTCAAGAGTTCTGGGGCCGGCAGGTTGTAGACTTCTATGTGCTGAATCAAAATGATTTGTAATGTTTAGGGCATGTTGATATTTGTTGCTACGATCATGGTCAGTCATTCATCATAACAGATTTTGTACCCAATGTATTCTGTACTAACTCTTTAAATCACCTTTAATATATTAACATATCATGAATTATATGTTATGGTGATGTACACCATATTCTTTTGTAATTTATATAATCTTTTTAAATCTTGTTTCACAATAAATACTTAACAATTCATTAAATTCATAAACACACTTTATTTGGCATGATTTTAAGTTTTCATGTATTCTTTTGAAATATATTTCCTGACCTAATGACGACTCTGTTTCCCGTCATGTTGATTAGCATGAGATAATAATAGCTGTGGCGTATTCACCTTATGAACTTTGGCAGGATGATTGAACAGGGTTTGTAGTTTGATTTGGATGTCTAGAATTCAAGGCTTTTAGAAAAGTCTGGATTAAGAGGCCTTCTGTTGGTTAGCTGGTTGTTTAACACCACACTAAGCAATATTCTAGCTATATGGCGGCGGTCTGTAAATAAACGAGTCTGGACCAGACGATACAGTGATCAACAGCATGAGCTTCAATCTGTGCAACTGGGATATGATGACATCTGTCAACCAAGTCAGCGAGTCTGACCACCTGATCCCTTTAGTCGCCTCTCACGACAAGTATGGGTTGCTGAAGACCCAACTCTAACCCACATCTTCACGGGTCAGAGGCCTTCTGTAACAAACAGTCCTAAATAACTGAGTCAGTGTTCCTTAGACCCAGTGGGGATTTTGGATTTGATGCCTGGCAACATATGCCGCTGCTAATATGGATAAAGTGGTTGGACTCGGTGACTTGATTGCTTGTCACTGTACACAGACAACCGGTGTTGTTGCTCATGATATCAATCACAGGATTGTCTGGCTCAGACCCAATTACATACATACTGCATTCATATAGCTGGAGTATTGATGAGAGCTGCAGTAAAACAAAATGAAAATCTTGTACAACCAGAGAAATCATGCAGACTCTGTAAATGTTACTTAATTTGTATGGTGGTCATAGCATGTACTCCATTGTGTGGTTCTGTGATTGAGAGTAATAAAATCAGCAGAAACTTACAATCCCTGTTCAAGTCTCCATACTGTTGTCTTGTGACGGACAAGGAACAGTCACCTCTGTGCATGTTTTGTGTTTCTTCCGGCTTCAGTGCTGTCCCAGGCATCCATGAAGTTGCTGGAAGAGTACAAGGATGCCGACCCCAACTTCACAATTCGCCGTCAACACGATCAACGATTGGAGGAGATCGAGCAGATTGAACAGCTCAGGACGGTTAGTGAAATTACAGAAGTAAAAAACATCTATAGGATCTTTGTATAAGGTCGATATAACTTTCAAGGCTTAATCGTAGAAACTAGTGTCATAGTTCATTCACGTATTTAGTCTGCATTTATGGCTTGTCACAGCAGTCAGTGCTGGTAATAGGAGCCAAGCTGCCAGCGTACATTATTACCAGTAGGTCAAGCTACAGCCATTTCATTCCTTCACATCATCATCATTTCCCTCCAAATATGGCTTTGTGCTTTGACTCTCGACAGAATGATGTCATGACTTCGTAATTTATAAAGTGTAACCATGGTAGCAAACATTCTTAGTTCAGTACCGGCTGTAAGATGACCGGGTGGATTGGATTGTAATTATAGCCTTCAGACAACATGGCTGATAATCACTTGAGCCTTTAGTTGAAAGGTGTCATCATCCATTCTCTTTGAGTCTTGAAATAATAAGGTCTCATTCCTCCATTAGTTCATATTGATAGTCATTCATTATCATGAATGGCATCAACTACCACATGGCTGAAAGAAAAGTTACAAGTGTTTGGAAGGTTGGGGTCAAATTGAACCTTGTCATGTCTATATTGTGGTGTGGTCAAAATTCATTTCCCGAAATGTAGGACTTTTTAAATATCACTCCCTTTAATTCCCTTTCTCTCAGGCTCTGGTACTGATGACCATGAGTTTCTCTCCAGGTCTCATTGTGCCCATGACCTTGACCTTGCAATAGAGTGCTCTCTTTCTGTCTTGTAGAATTTTGAACTCTGTAGTAAGATTCTCTAGTCGTTGCCTTGGCCACTGAGTTGAATTAACCTTGAATTTGCCCTTGCCATTGGATTAGTCGTGAATCTGTCAACTTAATTTAGATTGTAAGATCGATTAGTTAACTGTGCTAACATAGAATGTAGATTTCCTGGCTTGTCCATTGTACCAATTCTGTTTCATGTGTTTTTCTTCTGTCTGGAATGTTATAAATTCTCTGAACTGCTGACAATAGAAAGTATACTTCTGTATAATGAAGACGCAATAACTTACAAATGTCTTGGCATCATTTTAAGTATAGACAATCCACTAGATTACAGAACTAGAACTGTACCAGAAACATTTAATTTATGTTCTAAATTTTATGATTTGTGTGATTTTTTTGTTTGTTTCACTTTTTTATTGGCTTTGTATTTTCTGTATCACCAACAGAAAGAAGAATTTGTGGTTCTGAGAGATGTAAGTTTGTTTAAGCACGGTGTTATACCCCCAAGATATGAGGCATGGCACCACAGTGAACTATTTACCTGAAACCACTAGTTTGTTGTCTGAATGATAGGTCACCATTCAGTGTCACACTATAGCCCACAAATATATGGACCTTTATGCATGAAGAAAACACCATGCAAAGAATGATGCTGTTCATCTGGGATAACAGTCTTCTGCATGTAGGGAATGTGTGAAGCCTATTTCTGGTGTCCCCTGCCGTGATATTGCTGGAATATTGCTAAAAGCGGCGAAAAACCATACTCACTCACTCACTCTGCCTGTAGGACCAAATGTTAGGGGATAAATGCCATCCCCAGTGAGGGGCGATGGGCTAACCTAGTGGTTAATGCATTCATCTACATCCCAAAGACTCGGGTTCGATTCCCCACATGGGTACAATGTGTGAAGCCCATTTCTGGTGTCCCCTGCTGTGATATTGCTAGAATATTGCTAAAAGCGGGGGGAAACCATACTCACTCACTCACTCACTCACTCTGCATGTAGGGTAAAAGCCGTCCCTGGTGAGGGGCGAAGGGCTAGCCTAGTGGTTATCGCTGATCAACCCAAAGTCTCGGGTTCCATTCCCCGCATGGGTACAATGTGTGAAGCCCATTTCTGGTGTCCCCCGCTGTGATATTGCTGGAATATTGCTAAAAAGGGCCTAAAACTCACTCACTCACTCATCCCCAGTGTTCTCTGCTGGTCACATCCTTGGTTATTCTCTGTATCAGTCTCCTGTCTATTGTGGACCATCATCCATAACAAGGACCCACTCGCCACCTAGCTTTGTTTTGGAAGTCACGGCATAAGCCTGATCTGTATTATTAAATACCTTTCTAGTGAACTGTGTCTGACCATTCTTAATATCAGCTTTGAGTAGGTCTTCCAAATCATGGCTTCATTTAATAAACCTTCACTGTGTAATGCAATCTCACAATGTTCTGAAAGAACCTAAAATGTTTCCCAAAGCACTATGACAATAGAGTAAAGTCCTTCGGCTATGTCATGTTCATGGTTCATTTAAGGCATTTTGCAAAGCTAGTGGTTCCACGGCTGTTTTGTATTTTCATCATTGGACATCAATCTTTTGGGTTGTGTCATTCCTCTCAAAGTTAAGTTATGGTGGAGAATTTCTTCATTACGATGGACTGGAGATTTCATACAGTGGATAAGCTCAATGATGAAATTAGATGAATTGTGTGAAGATAGTATACAGATTGTGAATTTTGAAATACCAACTTTCGGATTGCTGTTGTACCCAAATTCATGGACCAATGGGCTTACATTGTTACACACTAATCACGTAAACCAGCTGAAAGATTGTGGATTAACCATGTATTCTCACCAATCCAACACTCGACTCTTCCTTCTCTTTCAACCGCTATCAAAGACATAAAAAACTTTTAGGTCTATGTTGTACCGTTTCCCTGAAACTAGTCATGTATATCATCTTCATCTAAAAGTAGGTACCATGTACTCTTTTCTTGATACTAATCTGGAACATCTTCTTTATGTTTGTAGTTTTTAGTCCCCAAAGTTGGTTAACAACCAGGTACAATTTACTCAAAACTGTGGTGAACAACTTCTTATGTATGTTGGTGTCTTTTTTTATTCCTAAATTTTGATAATATGTACTGTATTCTTGAAACTAATCTGTCATCTTGAATATGTCCACTGGTCTATCATAGAATCGTATTGTAATATTTTCCTGTGAACTAACCCAGTAGTGTGGTTGCTGTATTGAGTGAGGCTGCACAAGTATGAAGTCTAAAACTAACAGTAGTATTCTCTTACAACTAATCATAATCAGTGCATCCAATCTGGATTGCTGAAGCGAGTCTGACTCTTCATTGCTGATTGTGTTTCTTCGTACAACCCCAGAATGTTCATCATGTCTCCCGAGCCTCCGACATAGATCTTGTTGTATTTCACGGGGTTGTCTGGCCCAGTTGGGTTTTTAGGATATTGCTGTCATGAAAACTATCATCATGCTCATTAAGTGCTATCATCAAGCTACTAATGAACCAAACTTAATGTGAGATTATTTGTCACCATTTCTCTTCAAACAAAACATATGTTAATAAGTGGATGGTTTCTGTCCAGTGCCTCGTTGTTGTAACCTGGGGTCAATTGATGCAAGCTGTTAACAATGTTGAAAATCTTCTGTGCAGAGTTGTATACCTCGATTCATAAACATGGGAGTCCCCCGGGTCCCCTAATTATTAGTTTGAAGGGTCCTGTGAAGTAACAGTGTAGAGAACTGTACGTTTTGGTAATTTCTTTAGAGCTTGGAATGAATCATTGATCATGTGGACTGAGGGATGAGATGATGCATGTAACAACCAAACACTCAGCAAAGTCATAGATGTGTTGTGGGTACAGTGAATAATATTGTGCGTCCCTCTGTACGCAGTGAAATGTTACTTTGCAACCACTCAATGCAGTGGCTCAGATAAGCCAACATGAGGTGGTGAAGGTGCTGCAACCTTTGTTTCAAGTAGGTCTCTGGTAGTGTGCCAGGTCTCTGGTTTAAGTGTGCCAGGTCTCTGGTGTAAGTGTTCCAGGTCTCGGGTGTAAGTGTGCCAGGTCCCTGGTGTAAGTGTGACAGGTATCTGGAGACATGGTCTGGTGTAAGTGTGACAGGTCCCTGGTGTAAGTGTGCATGGTCTCTGGTGTAAGTGTGCATGGTCTCTGGTGTAGGTGTGCATGGTCTCTGGTGTATGTGTGACAGGTCTCTGGTGTAAGTGTGCCAGGTCTCTGGTGTAAGTGTGCCAGGTCTCTGGTGTAAGTGTGCCAGGTCTCTGGTTGTCTCTGGTCTAAGTGTGTAAGTGTGGTCTCTGGTGTGGTGTAAGTGTGTGTGCCAGGTCTCGGGTGTAAGTGTGCCAGGTCTCGGGTGTAAGTGTGCCAGGCTACTGTGGGGATTGTTACTCACACAATTAACCCTGTCGACCTTGATTTAATTGTAATATTGCTCACTGTACTAAACCTCACTCACTCTGTGATGTGAGTTCAGGCATGTTGTAACCGTTATGATGTTCCTCAGCTTCTACATAAGACAGGGATGTTTTACATTTATTGTAAACATCTTCCCTAACAGAAATTCCTTGCTTTTTAACTTGGAATCATATATGGTTTACTAAACCTTCACTCTTCACCTTCCATCAGTTAAAGAATTATCATTTAAACTGTGGTTTTGAATTTTGAACTTAATGATTACTGTGTGTATGGGTTGTGTGTGTGTCCATGTGATTAAAGGGGAAAATCTAACATGACAGTTAGTTGTAGGCAGAATAAGGTCAGTGCTTGGAGACAACGTTATGCCTCTGCCTGTTTAGTGGGATAACAATACAGTGATACAATGTAGTATATCAGATCCACATTATACACATTGATTTACACCCCTTCAGGGGTGGAAATAACCCATTGCCCGACGCCCGAGTCCAGTGGGTTTTTTTCTGTCGTGCAAGCAAATTTGTATATCACACTGTACCGGTGTCAGTTGATATTCCAATGTTAATTATGTTGTTTATTTAAAAAATCAACAAGAAAACGGCCGGTATAGTGTTAAAATTATCAGGGCAAGTGATTTTACATGTGCCACTGTACCGGAGTACACTAGCGATATTAAAGTTATTTCCATACCCTGGCCTTGCATTGCGATACATTACAAGTTTTATAAGTCTATCAAAATGTGAATGATAACACTGTTCAACAGCCTGTTTATAAATCTCTCGTATTCCCTGTCGAATAAATAATTGAACATTCCCAACGCCCTTTAGGCAATAAGTTTCTGACCTACAATATCCCATTTTCGCTCTCTGAAATCTAAAAACAAATGATTCTGGATTGTGATGTACCTGCAAGAAAAAAGAATATCAACTTATTAAAAAACGTACAGTATCGAATATATATTGTTGCATTCACTGTATCGGGATACATATCATGTGGTGACCCCAATGTATCATTACACCTGTATGTCTGTCTGGTGTGAATGTAGTGTGAAATGGCTCAGTGTTTGAAGAAGTTTGGAATTTCTGTGATATATAAGATATTTGTGTGTCAACCTGTGTTTGTTATGTAGTCATCTTCATCTTCCTTTACAGACGATCGAGTCCCGTCTGAAGGTGACGCTGCCTGAAAACCTACCTGATGCCTTGAAGGATGGTGTTGTGCTGTGCCACTTAGCCAATCAGATTCGACCACGCTCAGTGGGCAGCATCCATGTCCCATCTCCTGCTGTGGTGAGTGTGACTCAGACTGTTGAGTGAGTGAGTGAGTTGGGTTGATGTTTTTGTGAACAGTGTGCTCCAGTTATCTCATGTGTCAGCTTGATAAGGGAAGAAAGCCTGAAGTGGTGTAGGTCTCAGTTGTTTGCCACTTGGGTGAAAGATGAGAGCAAGGGTACGGTGCTGACAAGCCTAGAAACACTGTCATTGCAAACCAGCAGTCAAACACTTGATAATAGATTCCTGGCATGCCTAAGGGAGACAGCTCTGCAGAGCAAATTGCACAGTGCCACAGGAGTGAGTGATTTTAGTTTTACGCCACACTCAGCAATATTCCAGCTATATGGCGGCGGTCTGTAAATAATCAGATCTGGACCAGACAAGCCAGTGATCAACACCATAAGCATCGATCTACGTCAAGGGAACGAATCGTTTGATCAATTACAATCCTTTCAATGATGTCACTGAATTGTGTCTTCTCTCTTTTCAGCCCAAGCTGACAATGGCAAAATGTCGAAGAAATGTCGAAAACTTTCTTGATGCCTGTCGAAAGATAGGAGTGGACCAAGTAAGTTCTATATAGCTCTGTCAGGTGATACAGGTGTTGGAGGAATGGGTTATTGGCTGTTTATATGGTATTATACTCTTTAGTGTGTTGGAGCCAGGAGGTAGGACATTGGGCTAAAAGATAACTTATTGTGGTTCCATTAACCAGACCAACCATACTTTATGAAATACATGACAGGATGTCCCTGTTGTCAGGCTCGTGTTTTTAAAAGTTACTTCACAAGAATCATAATTAAAAAAATTGTAAGTGGAACCACAATAAGTATTTTACAGCTTGATGGAGACTTCTCCAGATATTACCACTTTAACATTTGGTTGAAATGAGACAAGCAATGTTACTTAGTTACTTAGTTCCTAATGTCCGCCCCCTGGAGTACAGGGCAGAGAGGAAGCTGGGAATGTTCTATGTCAGTCTGACAGGTAAGGGAGTGTTGAGTGTCTGCAGACTGGATACCAGCAAGAGTCTGATGAACATGTTGAATGAGTTGTCTGGCAATACTTATCTGTAGTCCACCGTCAGCCTCATCCCACGTTGCCATCAGTACATCATGTCTCTGGACAAATTGAAATTCTACCTGTATTGTCAGAAAAACTGTGTCAGGTAAAACATTCTCTTTGTGAGACATTGTGACGATGAAGGAAAAGCGAAAGTAGTGATTAACTGTGAAGGGAATTTAAGTAGTTCAAAGTAAGTATCATTTTATTACCTCTTACTGTCCCATATGTTACCAGAAGCAACATTATTTTTATCATACATATCAAGTAAATTATTCAAAGATTGTGGCCTTTTTGTCACAGTTAATTGAAAAACATGTCCTCTCTATCCAATGATGAATAATGACTGGTCCCTCAGGTGGTATATATTCTGTATCAGCTATAGACAGAGTTGGCAATGGTGGCGTGAGGGAGACGGTGGATGATTTCCTTTTAAGGAAAAGTTTGTAGTCCTTCATGAACAGGGGGTTTTGTTATTTCATGAACGCTTGATACCCTGCTATAGAAGTGACATTCATAGAGTTCATGGTCACTGCGATATGTGTTCTGGTGGTGACATTAAAAGGTAGTCCTGCATTGTATGATTGTAGACAAGTTAACAGCACTTGTGTAGACATGTTTCACTAGAAACTCACTACTAAAATGGCAGTATGAGCTTCAAAGGTACTTCACTGAAGGACACAAATAAGAGTCATCCAGAAACGTAGCTTAATTACTTGAGTGGCCATTACAATAATTACTGATAGCATCATTTAGAACCAGGCTAAGACTGTGCATTGTTTTCATCTTTTCTTTTGTACTGACGTCAAGAGTGCAACACACATGCTACTTTAGGAATCTTCTTGAATAATCTCTTCTCAATAACTGTGAAACCTGAGAAAACTGATACCTTTGTACATTGAACCCATGTCCAAGTTAAAGAGACAATTGATGTTATAGTATTGCACCTTGTACATGTGGGGCTCGCTCCTATCCTCACCATGATAGGCAATTGGCTGTAAGAGAAGACTCTCAAATATGTTGGAGCTCCGACATAAAGCTGACATAAAACAGCGATGCAACTGAACACTGTTGAAAGTATTATGAAACCTCACTCACTCACTCACTCACTCACTCACTCACTCACTCACTCACTCACTCACTCACTCACTCACTCACTCACTCACTCACTCACTCACTCACTCACTCACTCTTCACTCACTCACTCACTCACTCACTCACTCACTCACTCACTCACTCACTCACTCACTCACTCACTCACTCACTCACTCACTCACTCACTCACTCACTCACTCACTCACTCACTCACTCACTCACTCACTCACTCACTCACTCACTCACTCACTCACTCACTCACTCACTCACTCACTCACTCACTCACTCACTCACTCACTCACTCACTCACTCACTCACAGTGCTGACCAACACAGGTGGTAGTTCCTGATTTTTCCTCCTGAAACTCAAATTAACAGGATGTCAGTTTTCACAGGTTTCAATGCATGATTCGATAATTTCTTTGGACCAAGAAATATTAAATTTGCTCGACAATTTTTCTTTGTAATTTGCATGATATCAGGATAATTGTATTGAAAATATCACTTCTTTACTATTGCCATTTCCTATTTGTTGAGAAAATGTGTGTAACACTTTTGCTGTTCTGCATGTGATATTTCTTATTTCCTCTTTTGATATTTGTCTTCCTTTTTCCACTAACATTCTGCCTGTTCTCGCAAAACATATCAGATGTACTCTGGCAAGCTTTGTCTTATTGATTGATTGAAACATATTTTATTCAATTAAGAAACGGATTGGGCACAAGTTATCCAACTTAAATAAGCCCTCTCCACATAGTTACAACTGTATATTACAAAAAAGTTCAACAAGAGGCAGACAAAGGGTATAGATATGTACAGACAGAGTTATTTAAATCGTTTAGTGTTATGGATGTAGATATGTACACTTTTAAAAACATTCTGATTTTCGCTAAGCGAGAGACCTGCATTGCCATTTAAGATGAGATTAATATCAATACATGCTCTATTATTCACTATATTTTCTAAAGAGGTTAACTTATTGTCTTATTGTGACTTTGTTCTTTGTTAGGAATTCTATTACTACATTGCATATAAGATTATTTGTATCAAATTTTAAATTATTTTGATATTTCATCCAGAAGAGCCCAACTGGTTATTTGTGACTGAATTCTCTTGAAAGCAAGCCATGGTGTTACTGCACGGAAATGACAACTGGACTGATTGGAAATGGGACTGAACAGTCTGTCAGTTCTGTGTTGAAGCACATTATAATCTTAGCACTAAGATGACTGTAACCTTTTCTTATGGTCTTAGCACTAAGTGACAGTGACCCAGTGATTAATACCTAGGACTTAAGATCGTTGCACTAAGACGACTGGACCTATCTTAAAATCTGAGCACTAAGTGACAGTGACCCAGTGATTAATACCTAGGACTTAAGATCGTTGCACTAAGACGACTGGACCTATCTTAAAATCTTAGCACTAAATGACAGTGACCCAGTGATAAAGACCTAGGACTTATGATCGTTGCACTAAGACAACTGGACCTATCTTAAAATCTTAGCACTAAGTGACAGTGACCCAGTGATAAAGACCTAGGACTTAAGATCGTTGCACTAAGACGATTGGACCTATCTTAAAATCTTAGCACTAAATGACAGTGACCCAGTGATAAAGACCTAGGACTTATGATCGTTGCACTAAGACAACTGGACCTATCTTAAAATCTTAGCACTAAGTGACAGTGAACCAGTGATAAAGACCTAGGACTTAAGATCGTTGCACTAAGACGACTGGACCTATCTTAAAATCTTAGCACTAAGACCTCTGTAAATGTGTCTTACCTTGAAGATGACTGTAGCCCAATGTAATGGCTTTGGTCTAATATGACTGTACATTATATGTTGTTGACTGGTCACGAGGGGCATGGGTTGATGTACCCTCGATGTTTGTTTATGTTCCCTGAGCCTGAAGGGTGAGGGGAACATAAACAAACATCGAGGGTACATCAACCCATGGACCCAAGGGACCAGTGAACAACGTATTTATCTTACCGAACACCTTAATGTTAATTTTGAATTTGTTTTAAGCACGGGTACAAATCTTTTTGTAGCCATCTTTAGATTTTGCTGACAAGAAAAACAGATTTAGAGTTATCTCCCTTCCATCGATTTGTATTTGCAAAACATCGGTAATTTACGTACATCATACGTGATTCAATGTTATTCGAGATAAAGAATTACTACCACAAAGTACCAAATGAGTTGCCATTGACAGTGGGGTAAATTGAAATGTACCTCGCTTGTAAGCAGGGTACATTGAAACTAAAATAAAAGCGCTCAGCCAATCAGAAAGCGACATTTATGTGTGAGGTAAGATAATATTAGTTACACTGTGTTTTGAAAGGGTGTACGGAATTTACAAGGGTCTTACAGTCCCATACACCCTTTCAAAACTGTGTGACAAATTTATTACCCTTAAGATCTTTATTTAGCTGATCTTTAAACAACAACATTCAATCATTGGCAGAATGAGATGCAAAACGTTTCGTCATGATTTTTTCTGAACGTCCATAAAGGGAGATAACTCGGAATGGCTTAGTTTATGATTTTTTTTTATCGAATTTGAGGTTTTGTTAAACGACAAGTGAAATAAAGAAACACTTTATTTTTTGGATATACTTATTGACACAAACAAATAGGAAATTATGGCAACAATTTTATTACTCTGTTTATAACCATAATTGTACACGCCGACTCTAAAATTTCGAAGCGATCAGCCGTTTGGCAGCCACATTCCATCTAAGGTCAAGGTCATTCATACAACCCGCGTAGTGTGTCACATGACAGATTTGCCAGGGTGTACAGTTCGTACACCCTGGCAAATCCGCCTACATGGTTTGGTATGCTTTGGCCATTGACCAATCAGAATTCGACAAAGTTATCTTAAGGGTAATAAACGACTGTATTAAAGTCCTAGGTCTAAGATGACTTTACATAAAACTACTTTAAAGTCCTAGGTCTAAGATGACTGTAACCCGTCATGAAGTGAGACCCAGTTATTTTATCCACTTCTCTGATGCCTGAGCCTAATCAAATTCAGATGGATCTAGTAAGCTTAGCTAGTAGTTTTCAAATAAATACTAACATGAAATGAAAATGAAAGGATGCTAAAAGCCAAGTTTGGCTTGTCGACTACTTATAACTGGTCTGCCTAGGCAGTCCACCTACCATGTGTACGTGTTGTCTGAACCCACATCTGTCTGGGTAATGATAGACCCGTGAAGATCCGGGTTAGAATTGGTCTTCGGTAACCCATGCTTGTCGTAAGTGGCAGCTGATGGGATCGGGTGGTCAGACTCACTGACATGGTTGAGACATGTCATTGTATCCCAATTGTGTAGATCGATGCTCATCCATGTGGTTCTGAGACCTGCATCACATTGGGCTTTCCTCTTATTAAACCTGTCA